TAGATCAAATAGAATGATATTCTCACTCTTGATGTTCTTGTGATACCAGCCAATCGAGTGTAGATGTAGGATAGCTTCGCAGATGATTTCAGCCAGCCGTATCCGGCGATCCAAAGGAACGTATTTGGCTTGTCCAATTACCTCTGCAAGAGGTATCCACCTTCGGTTCTTGAACCTCTCAGCGATAAGATGAACGAGTCCAAAGCGAGGTCCAAAGAGCGTTTCGTGAGTGAAGCCGGAGATCTCGAAGCAGCGGAATGCTGGGCTCTTAGCTTCGGTGAGAAGCGCTATAATGCGCTTGATTTGATATGAAATACGCCCAAAGGCATCGGGGTCTTCATCGAGGTAGTAGATATACTCGACCAACACATCACGACCGGCGTGTTTCCCGTGTCTTATCCGCTGCTTTGGGATCGCTGTGCCGCTAAAGCTCACGCGAGTGGGATTACCCAGGACTTTTTCGTCGTCAAGCAGAGTAAGGCGCATGGCAATTTTTCTCCGGATGTCTTCAAGAGCAGTAGAACCGGTGTCATCCAAATTACTTAGCGTGTCGCTGTCCATCGTCGCAAGTGAGTCTCCCAGAAAGTCTAGTAGATTGGAAGAAGCTGCCCTAAGTCCTTCCAGAGCAGCATGAGATGTTCCATGCCTTACCGAAAGTGCGTCTCCTGAGGCGAAAACAGCAAGCTTGAGCTCAGCGAGTAGCCTCTGAGCTTCAGTCCGACCTTCTTGGGAGAGGAATGGCAAGGCTTCGGTTCTCTCCTGTTCATACGCCGCTTCACAGACATATGTTCCCATCCTGCTTATGTCTTGTGCCTGGGAGGTAACACGGTCAATAAGCTGTATATCTTCGACGGATGCTGGTGAGTCTCGGGTAAGCCAGCGAAGTAGGCTCGGCAGCACTGACCCATCAAGAGGATCGAAGAGACATAGCCGAAGATACACGGAGTTGATGGATTGCGAGACGGTTTGAGGGACAAGCTCTGAGGCCTTGTCACCATTAGTCAGTCTTGTCAACTTGATTGGGCCCTCTGAAGCATCTCCACTTAGAGAGACCAGGAACGGTTGTCGCTTCAACCCAGCTTCCGCTATCACCATGCGACTCTGGAGGGCGGCAAGTGTTACAAGCCCTTCGCTCGACATTGCCAGCTTCATCTCTCGCATTAGAACGTTGGTGAATGACGGCCATTTCTTCATTCCCGTCGGTGTCCAGTTATCCTTGTCGGTGGCGGCCAAGAACTCAATCTTATGAGAGGTGTGAGGTCGCGCAGCTTGCCCAGCATAGCAACAGTCGAGAATAATGACAACGTCGCCCAGAGAGAGAAAGAGTTGGGGCTGGATGTTGGACCAATCGAGCGTTGGACCGCCACATATCTTTCTGCGATATATACACGGTCAGCTAGTGTTTGTTGAATGCAATCGATTACCTACGCTGCCCAAGTACAAGGACTTCTCGCCTGTGTGTTGCTCTCTCCTCCACCGTGCCCACTGTAGAAGATGATGAGGAGATCGTCTACTCCGCCAAAATTCTTGATGAACTGAGCGACACACACATTGAGGGAAAGTTCCGGATCCTGAGATGGTATTCTGAACGGCCAAATGGCATAGTTGAAAGTCTGGCTAAACATGTCCTTGACTTCTGTAACTTCCCTATCAAAGTCGAAGCCAAGGTCATGTTCCTTCCATGTGATTATTAGCACATTTACAGTGGCATATCTCTGTGTCCTGAGAGGTCGGTATTCAGTCAGCTTGTCGCCAATGGTCTGCTGATAGGTATTTAAAAGAGCCATTGTTGAGATTCGCGTTTGAGTTGATATTGAATGACATTTGTTCTTAGTGTATTTTGTGCAATAGCTGGTGAGGATTGACCAGTTGCAATCTTTATTACAACTCGATATTTATTCATATGGTTTGCATTAGAACTTAGTCTCCCTCGTGCCAAACAGCCTGATTTATGCCCAACATTCTCCTAGGACTAAACGGCACGGAAGATTGTTGCTTCCGTAAGCCACATAAGCCGATATCATTCAACTCAAGTATGACATAAGGTAGAAAAAGTCTGACATCTCTTATTGGGCAACTACTTTGTAATAACATTTCCATAGATCATATCTTGCAATACATATATCCTATCCAACTAATGGTAGCACTTGATCATTGCGCTCTTTGTTATCAACCCAGTTACCATGAATCTGGTTCTTGGTACGGAATGGCAATTGGATAACGGCGACAGGTTTCTCAAAGTGTCTCGAATCCAACACAATCAGGTCACTACGGTTGACGTCCGTTCTCTGAACCATGGCCAACACCCAACCATCTCCCTCTGTAGCACTCTCAGAACGAGGCACAAAGATTGGTTCTTCGACGGCAGCATACGGTCCTGGATCGAAGAAGGTACGTCGGTTGCTCCCTTTCTCAAGCATGACATAACCATTGAGGCATAGCGGCACAACAGGCGGTGCAGTATTAGGTCGATGGGGTAGCAAGACTGGTACGAACATGCGGTCGTACGTGCGCGTGAGAAATCTTTCATCCATACGCGCAAACTCGCTTGGAATATCTAGGATGATTTCAGGATCTTTTACCTTGGTCCCGGTCGGTTGGTTGATGTCAATCTCCCAGCGAACGTAGTCGGCTTTCAGATCTCTCATGTCAGGCTCTCCTGGGGGTTCAAACCAGGGAAGGGTATTATAGAAGACACGAGAGCTTTCAAAGTAAAGCTTCCCATCCTCGTCTTCCCAAGACCCAGCGGTGTGAATGGCAACAGAGTTTTCCCAGTGATAGACCCGCGACTCGCCCTTGCTCCAGCCCGCTGGTAGATTGTCGGGCCTTCTTGGGACGACAATGAACGTCGCAGGGCGATCGTAGCTGAAAAGCCAATGCTGACCGCCAGACTCAATTCTGTCCAAGTCGGCTTCAAATGGCCACAGGACGAGAATTATGTAATTGGCTGTGATGGAGCAGTCATGGATAAACGAGCACCAAGGCGCTTCAATCCACTGCTCGTCTTTGACCTTGCCACTTTGATCAATCGAGTAGATGACAATATCCTTTGTGGCCAAGCCCTTTGCTTCATAGCCGAAGCAGACCAGCTCATTGGTAAATGGGTCGACCTTTGGGTGAGCAGAAAATGTTTTACCCGGAAATCCGAGGGGGTCAAATCCGAGGGTTTGGAGTGTATCAGGGTGAATCTCATATGGCTGAGCCACTTCTTTAAGGGTAAGAAGTCGCCCAGCCCAGTAGATGACATTTGTGTTTGCTGTAGAGTCGATGGCTGCGCGTACGCAGGGATGGTGCGTAAAGGGGTTTCGGTAGAGACCAAAAAGTCTCTTCTTTGCCTGCTTTTCTAACTTGAGGCGCTCCGTTTCGATATACTTGTTCTTCATATCGACGCGGCCATCTTGAATGCGCAGCGCACAGATGTTGCCGTCGCCCTCGATGGCGGGATTATTGGGCATCAGAGGGTACAGAGGATCGACCATCATGCGGTAGAAGGTGCCGTTAAGCTCCTTTGGTATTTCTCCATAGACCACCAAATCAGCTATTTCACTCTCAAATCGGCCTGTGACGCCAAGTTGGGAGAACATGAAGGCCTGCCTCCACGCTGACGGCAGGCCGAAAAAGGCATCTCCGTCGTTTTTCTCTGTGCCTTGTGTCATGTTTGATACGTTGAAGAGGTTGAAGAGGTTGAAGAGATATTTAAAAGCAATGGAAATGGCTTGTCAGGATTGGAGAAACTAAATGTTGACGGCGGTGATCCATATATAATCGAAAGGCGTGGAGACTACTCGTACGACTAATTCTTGTCAAGTTAAGCTGCGCAAGTACCGTACCGAGTTACCGACCAAGTCTCCGCTGCAGTCTCGAGTGCATGTAAAAGACTGACGAATGTGTCCACAGGTTTCCCCAGAATGGTAATCAAAGTTCATTATTGGCCCGGCTCTGCATATGTGGAATTAAGATTATGGGGTAAAGCTACGCTGCTGAGACCATGCTATGCTTTATCCCACATCACATGCCAGCATTTGATTATAAATTGAAGGATGAGCCATGGAGAAGTGTGTTTTGAGCGGGGTTCCCCGTGGGGAGGGCATTGAGTCTTGAGACATGGTCTGGACTCTGGTGCATCCGGCCGGAAGAACATCTGACATCTCGGAAAACCTTGAACTCAAATTCGAATCTTCCGCCTTCCGGAATCTTGGTGAGTGCCGGGCTGTTTAAGGATGGGCTAGTCTGCTGCTAGAGGCCGTTATGCAGACACTTGTATTTACCGGCATTTGGCAAGGCTACTTCGGACCTCTGAAATCAAACAGGAGGATGATACAGTGCTTATAGTACCTTATAAAGATAACTATCATTGAGATCCTGGACCCTGATATGAAGTTACAATGAACTGTAAAGTATATACTCTATAATAAGCCCAGCTCGATGCAGTGTTGTCAACCATGTATCTTCATGCTCTGATACACTACAATGCAATAACAACTATTTACAAACTTACAAGACACGTCTATTTGAGTTCTCTCCCCGCGTTCTTCTCAAATTTCCGATATGCGATTTCCGCTTTCCGATCGATTTGTTGTGATTGCATCCTCGTTGCTGATGATTGATATCTCGAAAAGGAAAATCTGCCTCGGGAGCTATACCATGTCAGGCGTCGCGCCCTCGGCAGCAGATCCATTTTAACCCCAATAGTCGTCGTCGAAGCTTAGTCGTCTCAATATCGCGGGGAACATCCAATTATCCGACATTAATTACTGAAACCCCATTTCCCCAGATCTCTCGCTTATTACCAGCTATTGGGAGGCTAGAGCGTTAGTGGCGTTGCCTCCCCTTTTGCAACAGAAGGGAGCATTCACAAGCAAGAGACCCGACATCTCTTTACCTATATAGGAGCCGCTTCATGAATAGAATCTGATCAGAATCATCATCCATCCCAATTCATTTTCTTGAATCAAGCTGTGCTGCCATCAAAGCAAGAAGTGAACGCAAAATGCGCCAACATGAGAACCCAAGGCATGTCCAACACCCAACCCTAGTATCAAGTTCTGGAAGCAAGTTCAGGCTCTAATACAACTCAGCGGCATTGAAGAGCCAAAGGTGCCTGGCACCATTGACATGACAGTCACAGGTATGAACCGATCTTCAGAACTCATCATGTACAAGCTAAAGCTAAGGAATGTGCAGATGACACTCAAATTGCATACGGTCTTTCCTTGACACCGACTCCGTCCGCCGACCCGAACGATCCGCTCAACGTATGTATCATCTCTTGTCAAATTACAACGACGATGTATACTCAGAATAATGACCTTTGCCCGTTAGTGGACCCCAAGAAAGAAATACACGATCCTGTTCCTCGTCTCAGCGTACTCCTTTCTAGCAAACGGTGCTTTGATCGGCCCAAGCGTCTACGTCAACCTCCTTGCTCAGCAGTTTGGTAAAACACCCAGTCAGACATCGCAGCTGGTGAATAATCCAAATCTTCTCTTCGGCTTGGGTAAGAGCAATCCATTCGAGTCGGTAGCCATGCTAATGTCAGGACTTTGGTCTTTTTCTGAGCAGGTTCCCTCATTTTCGTCCCCATGTACCAGAAAATCGGCCGCAGACCCACGATGCTGCTCTCGATCATTCTCGTGAGTTCCCTGCCTTCCAACCGAGAATACTTTACCTGATATATGAGATAGTTCTGCGCTGGCCTTCTGGGCTGTGCTCTGTCCAAGTCATACAATGTCCTCATGGGCTTCCGAATGGTTCACGGTTTCGGCTCATCAGTTTGCGAAGCATTACCAGCGCAAGCCGTGGCTGATGTATTCTTTTTCCACGAACGAGGAAAGGCCCTGGGCTGGTATACCTGTCAGTACTCTTAACCCTTTTAGCTATTCGTCTTCATCTCCGAAGCCACCACGGCTAACATGTCGGGTCAAAAGTTGCGCTTGTAACCGGATCTCTCAGTGCTACCGCCGCTAGCTACATGTTATCTAGTGGATTGTCGTACAACCTGTTCTTCTGGATAGAATTTGCTCTCGGATGTGTTCTCTTCCTGCTCACCCTGGCGTTCTTCGAGGAAACAATGTATCTTGAGGCACGGCAACCTCCTTCACCGTCCAGTCAGCGACCAATTGACGCCGATTCCGTCAAAGACGAACCCCAAGCAACCTCTGAGTGTATGGAATCCAGGCTTGAGGAGTCTGTTACAATTCCACCAAGAAAGACCTACTTGGAGCAGTGCAAGATCTTCGGAAAGACGGACCCCAATAGCCCGGTGTTCATGATGATGGTAGGACCCATTCAACAAGAACTGCCATAGATCAAGTACTGACAGGGTACCTCCAGATCCGATCCTTTACTTACTTCATTGTACCCCAGGTGTTCTGGGTCTGCGCTACCTATGGTAAGTACTTCCTCAGAAACAAAGACTCATTTAGCTGACTTGGTATAGGGATGGTCATTGGGCTTGCTGGTCTCGCCTTCACTTCCACTTTCCCAACCATTGTTGCCGCTCCTCCATACAACTGGCCAATTGTAAGATACCCTTCAGTCTGAACTCTTTGTTCCTGCGGCCCCTCAGATGAATGGGCTGATACTAAATATGACAACAGGAGAATACCGGCCTCGTGGCAATATCGGCATTCATTGGCTATTTGTTAGCAGCAGGACCCTTTAGTACCGTCCCGGATCGAGTCTCTGCTTGGCTTACCCGCAGGAACAACAACATTCACGAAGCCGAGTACCGCCTTTGGTGTCTGGTGGTTGTCTTTTTTATCGCCCCAGCAGCACTTATTCTATATGGATATGGTGCAGGAAATCACATGCATTGGTTCGCAATGGTATTTGCTGTGGGCATGTTCCAGTTTGGTATGTGTGATGCAACCGCTTTCGGGCGCAAGCACTAACAAGACGTGTACAGGAGCTTTCTTCTATCTCACTTACACTCTCGCATACGCTATGGACTCTTACGAGGCCAATATGCCTGAGATGCTGATTGCGATGAACATTGGCAAAATGTCTATTTCTTTTGCCTTTGGTTACAAAGTGATCGACTGGGTCCAGGCACATGGCTATATTAAGATGTTTGCAGGCATCTTTTGTGGCGCACTCACTATCAATAATTTGTTCGTCTTTGTCTTCCTGATTTTCGGGAAATGGTTCCGCCGTTGGCTCAGCACCACTGCTCTTTCAAAGATGCACAGGGAGAGTCTGGGTTAAGATGGCGAGGCTATGGAGATGTCAATGAACAAGATTGGTTGGCATAAGTAATTTCTCAGTTAGTCTTCATCTTTAGGTTACTTCAGCTACACCAACATGACTATATTTTGAACATGTCTATAATACGATGACTGTTTAGTTTCGTCGTGTAGAATATTAATAGATGTATGCCATGACTCGCGCTTAGAATGTAACCATATTGACAGGGTTCGACCTCGTATCACGACTCTTGGCAAGGAGTTCATTTCTGTTCTGGGAAAGCTCACCGTATAAGGGGCTCGAGCGTTGCCATCTGCCTTGGACGTATTAAAGCACAATCAGCTGAATTGGAGTGTACACAATCATTCCTCTCTTCATTCAACTTCAAGATGCGCTTCTATCTGACATTGGCTTCTGTGGCCTATCTTGCCTCTGGCGTTCAGGCGCATTTGCCCCACCACAGACATGCGCGAAACGCCAACGCTTTGACCGTGTCTTTGGAGCCTGTATCGGGGCAATCGGCCCAGGTCAACGTCTCTATCAAGAACGACAGTCCTACTGATCTGAGTCTACTCAAGGTTGGTACCATTCTTGATGAGCGGCCTGTCAAAAAACTGTCACTGAAGGATGATAATGGTACGTTGTCCTCTGAGCCCAGAGGCCAAGTTGCTAACATAATGCAGGAAATGAGGTGCCTTTCATGGGCATTGAGCTGAGCCTCTACTACGATGGACTCAAGACCAACCACTTTCAGAGACTCAAAGCTGGGTCCTCCACCTTTCGAATTGTTGACTTGTCCACCATGTACGACTTGAAGTCTGGTACATACTCTGTATATGCCGAAGGTAGTCTCCCTGCTGCCATAGAGGAATCTAGCAAGCCGGTCCCCGTTTCCTTCAGGTCCGAGGCTCTCTCGATGAAGATTACCGAAGCCTCGTCAGCCAAGGTCAAGCAAAAAGCATCGAAGCGTACTATCCTCCAGGAGGACTCTTGCACCGCTGAGAAGCTTGAACTCACTGCTAACGGTATAAAAAACTGTGAATCGCTTGCCCGGGCCGCAGCGAAGGATGCATCTGACGTTCACTCCGCGAGGTTCGTGGAGTACTTCAAGTCAAACGAGACCGAGACACGCGAACATGTCACAGGCCGACTCCTTGCCGTCGCTGAAGAGTGCTCTACTTCAGACAGTGGCAACACACGAGTCTCTTGCAGCGATGAGTTTGGATACTGTGAGAGCGACGGTCCTTTGATTGCTTACACTACCTGGGTTAACGGCTATGTCACCATGTGTCCGCTCTTCTACGATACGCTGCCCCCTCTACCGCAAAAGTGCCACAAGCAGGACCACGCCACTACGACGATCCACGAGATGACGCATGCGCGAGCCGTGTATGAGCAGGAAGTTTCAACTCAGGATTATGCTTATGGTTATGAGAACTCTACTGCTTTGGATCCTCTGTCTTGTCTTTACAACGCTGATTCGTATTCACTTTACGCTAACGGTAAGCTCACTATGCTACACGACCCTGTTCCTGAATGAGATGTTCTGACAGTCCTCAAGCGGTTTACATGGATTGTTGATAGTGTCAGGTGTGACAGAAAGCGGTCCACCAATGGCGGAGCTTCCTTCTGTGAGCTGGAGTGATAAGTAAGCGTCAATCTATTTAATGAGTGAAGTTTCTTGGGGAAAAAGCTATGTCACTGTTTCCAATATGAGAGTAAAGTCCAACCGCGAGAATGTCATGAGGAGACTGAAGGCGTCATTACCACTGTGTCTAAAACATACGCAGAAGTCTAACGACTCATTGTCTCGTCCGAATATTGAGGCGGTATCTACCTCGGCCTTCGCCGCTGGTCTTTTCATACAGTAACCATAGATGTTACCGTCCAATACACAGTAAATAGTTCAAAGTAGTTACGATAACCTGCTATTGAGTGTGATATGTAAAAAGAAAATATGTAACATAGAAGTATAAAAGTCCTTAGTTTTTCCCTCCCACCCGAGATGATTGATCCCGTAATTTTGTTTAATTGACGTGAGCGTTGAAGTTGGTGACAGTGAGCTTGGCATTGCTTCCACTATTGCCTGGTTAGTATGTGTCCGCCAAGACGAGGCAAAGCTGACTTACGTGAAAGGCTCAGTACCGAATTGGAAGGCTGTAGTTACAGTGTTAGTGAATGGGTAAGTAATAGAGTAGAGATACATACTGAGGAGATACTGCTTGCTGGCGGGGTAGTTCTGGCTGTTGGCAAGGTAGTTGAAAAATTGCTTGACATCAGAGTTGAAGTTGTTGACAGGGCTAGCGGCGACGAAGCTGAAGACCTTCATGCTTCCGTTCATGCCCACCCAGAGTTCCCAGCTGCGGCCCTCAATGGTGACGGTGGTCTGCTTAGATCCAATGGGCTGAACGTTACCATATCGGGCGAGCCTACCCCAAAGCGTATTAGTCAATTCTCCAATATCCGATGTTAGTCAGGGGCACTCACCAGATCATGAGCTCATAGTCACCACTGTAGGTGACATGGTTGGGGTCAGCAGCCGTGAAGAGATCGTAGGCAACATTGGCGCGAACGTTGGTGCCGCTGTAGGACCAAGCAGCTGCAGACTGCATGTTGCTGATGGAGCTGACGATGCGCTTGGTGCCAATCTGGAGAGCAGAGTTGGGGTACGCCTTGACGTTGTCCTGGCCGCCGGACCACGTCCAGTCAACGTGCCATCCGGCGCCATTGCTGTTGGACCAGTCGATGTAAGTGCACTGAGATCCAGAGCCGGAACTCTGACCCCAGCGGTTGTTGTTGAACTCGTAGCCGCCGTTGGCGTAGTAGGAGTATTGGTCGCAAAGAGACTGAGCGAGGGCGAGGGGGGCGAAAAGCCCCGCGAGGAAGACAAGAGAGCCCTTCATTGTGAGTTTTGTATGAGATAGAGTGTTTGTTTTTAGAAGATAGACAATGAGTTACTATTGATTTGATTTGAACCTCTGATGAAGGGCTATATTCTCGACATCTTATGCCTTCCTTTATACTCATCTCCCAATAGAGAATTTCTTTACATGCTAGACCGAATTGAATCACGGAAGTTTCTCCGTGAACATATCAAGGCCTCGATCTGGAGCTCATTCATCTCAACTCACAGTAATGGCCAGTTACGATGAAGCTGTCGTACATTCAAAGAACACAGTCGGTCCTTTTCCAAAGTGCAAGGCTCACTTTCTTGCAGACTAACGGAGCTTTTTAAACATGAGCCGACGGAACTCCCACCATCTTGGCCATAGCTCTGCTATCTACGCTGGAACCGAAAGACACCGAAGTGAGGTGAACCCCTGCCACTCTCACTCTGAAACAAACGCAGGTTAGTACTCCATTTGTCATCGCCGTGGTTCCTTGAGCGTTCTCCACTAATCTCGGCAATCCTTGGTGAAATCGGGGGTTGCATCCGGAGCTCCGGATAAACTAACATGCTCGTTCCAGCTCGTTCATGGAAGTTTTCCCGTGAGAGAGATGCCATGGAAAACAAGCCCCCCTGGCTTATATATGGAACTCCTGCCAGACTTGGTGGTCAACTCCCTAGTCGGCCTATCACGAGGTCTACCAAACGGAGGTTAGACTCCGTTCTGGAATGGGACAAGCTCAGAGTGTGGGGAAGCGAGCGAGTAGCTTCAGGAACAGGTTTGGGAAACGGTCCAACGGGCCGGGAAAAACGTCAATCATCCTGTATTTGGACGTCAACCCAACTTCACAATCGGCCCATTTATGCCAGGTCAAAGTCTATTCTGCTGTTCCTTGTATGATGGCTGATAAGATAGTTGGGATGACGATAAGGCTTATCGTCAAAGCCACGGGATGTGGGGGATTGCGTGCTCTACCCGGGAGCAAGAATTAACTTATATATTCCAGAGGACTGCTTCTCTTGTAGACACTGTCGAAATCACCCTAGACTCGGTTTATCAGCTGTTACCAATTCTTTGCCAAGAAACGGTTAAATTGGTCAAATGTTAACGTAGCAGTTTATTTCACCTCCGCACTTACTTGCATCTGGTATGTAGATCGTTGTTGTCAATGCATTCAAAGACTCAATTCCTACAGGCGCGCATAGACTCATAACACGAGCTCCGGAAAAACACTGTTACCTTGATTGGCAAATACATGATCGTGTTATACATTTCAAGTATGCTATAGGCATCACGCCGTCTTTAACAATTCTCCCGTTGTAGCCTCGCCCCATCAGGAAAAACTCCTCCGAAAGTGAGGCAGCTTATCGATAAGCCCAAGAGAGCATTCAGCTCGGGGTAATCACCCAAACGGTACGCAGTTTGCGACGTCAAGTTTTCCTGGAAGAATTTAAGGTAATGCCTCTAATTTTACGCTTGTTTGGCAAAGATTGCAGGCGAAATTTCAGTGCCAGCGTCCAAGAAACAGACCTCCTCAGCAATTGATGGAAAATGATCTACCGGCTAATAATGAAACTATTGCTGTTTCGAAACATCCCCATGCAAGTCTCAGTGTGACAGGGGATGTAGCCCTCGGACCCACAGACTCCGGATCCCTCATTCGACCATTGATGGACATTGTCGGCTGTTTAGAGAAATGGATTGACTACCGGGTGAACTTGTTTGGAACACGCATGACAATGATCTGTGCAGCATGGCTCCTTTGGGAAACCCCTGGTGAGGAGTCTTCAGGGCTGGCACGGGTGAAGCTTCGGCAGCTGGAAAATCAGGGCAACGTCTAGTGATACGAGAAGCAGTATATAATAATCTTCAATTCTTCACCTCCAAGAGATTTAATTCTTCTTCTTCATCACACAAGGATCTGCTAGACAGAACCAACTCCCTTCTCTTCTTCTTCTTCTTCTGCACCAGGAATCTCCAAGAACAGGCTCGGTCCTTTCATTCACAATGAAGTCTCTTCTCACCCTCACCCTCGCCCTCTTCGCCTCAGCTGGGCTCGGCGACGCTGCCTCAGCTGGCTGTGGCAAGCAGCCTCCCTCCAGCGGCGTCAAGACCATGCAGGTCAACGGCAAGAACCGCGAGTACACCCTCCAGCTGCCCAACAACTACCAGAACAACAAGCCCCACCGCCTGGTCTTCGGCTACCACTGGCTCAGCGGCAACATGGGCAACGTCGTCCAGGGCGGCTACTACGGTCTTCGCAACTTGGCTGGCGACTCTACCATCTTCATTGCTCCCAACGGTCTCAACGCTGGCTGGGCTAACCAGGGTGGCGAGGATATCACCTTTACTGATCAGATGCTTGCTTTTGCCAAGCAGAACCTCTGCATCGATGAGAAGCAAGTTTTCGCTACCGGCTTCAGCTACGGTGGTGCCATGAGCCACAGCGTCGCCTGCTCTCGACCCAGTACGTCATCACCTTCACACCCTACTAGCCCTATATATACTAACTCTTCATAGACGACTTCGCTGCTGTCGCCGTCATCTCTGGTGCTCTCCTCTCCGGCTGCAACGGTGGAAACACTCCCGTCTCTTACCTTCACATCCACGGATCCGCCGACAACGTTCTCAGCATCCAGCAGGGCCGGCAGCTCCGCGACAAGTGGATCGGAACCAACGGCTGCCAGCAGAAGACCGTCAACGATCCCGCTCCCGGTGCCCAGAACTACGTCAAGACCTCTTACACTTGCAGCCGCAAGCCCGTTACCTGGATCGGACACGGTGGTGGCCACGTCGGTGACCCTACTGCCAACGGCCAGAAGTTCGCCCCTGGTGAGACCTGGAGCTTCTTCAACGCCGCTGCTGGCACTAGCGCTAAGCTCCGCTGTTAAATAACCTGAGAGTTCGCAGACTCCAAGGACAGCCAATGCTTTGGCTATCTCTAGGTTTGTAGTTGAGACATGGGGAGGGAGATTTTACATTCCTTGTACATTGCAACCTGGTGGAAGTATTATTATATACAAATGGTCTAGTCCTACCGAGGGATCCGGCACATCCTTCACTGTACATAGTTAAACACCTCGGTGGACTCGGATGACAATACATAACAGTATATACTCGCACAGCATGAAGAAGCGTGATTGTAAGATGTAAGAACATGTATAAGTAATGTGAAGAATTGTGCTCAGCGAGAAAAGAAATTATGCAATTTGAGGCTTGCTGCCTGTTCCCCTCAGTCCATCCTCAAAGTCTACCATGCTAGTTTGAACATTCACTAAACGCGTAGCATTTCCTATCATAAAACACCGAGGCCTGCTTTCCTTTACCGGATGTGACACCAAGACTCTTGAGGTTTTTCCCATAGAGCTGACACGTCTTATCGTCCCCATATCCAAAGCTCAAACACTGCTTACTCTTCAAGCAAGTTTCGGCGCAAGTGTTCACGCTCTTGACAGAAGAGGCTGTGCCAATGATGGACTTGGAGGGGACACGAGCCTTTACCACATTCCTCTTGCAAACGGAACGTGGAGGTGCCTTGGAGTTGGCGACAGCTGAGGGAGTACATGCTGCAGCAGCCTTCTTGGACGTCGCGGATGATTTGGCCGCGCTGACTTTCTTAGCAGCAGCCTGGGTAGCTTTGGTGTTCTTGGTAGTAGCAGTTATAACACTTGATGTCTTGGTTGGCTTCTTAGTCTTGGTGCTGGTAGGTTTCTTGCTGGTAGTTGATGTCTTGGGCTTCTTATTCGAGCTAGCCTTCTTATCACTGCTGCTGGATTTACTCTGTGCCGTGCCCTTCTGCTTAGTGGACTTGGTGTCGGTCTTCTTGCCAGTCTTCTTCTTGGATGTTGGGTCAGACACAGGCGCCGGCTGTGACCCATTACAATCAGCGAATAGGCCGCTACCACCGCAGTCCATTCCAGTTCCAGACATGCCGCCCTCATCATCAGATCCATCATCACCAGTTCCGTCATTGACGTAGCCAATGCAGCCTTCAGCGATGGGATCACTCTCCATGGGATCAATGAGAGGAAACTCGTTTGTGTCGTCACCCAGCGTGATAAATGCCTCGAGGGTGTTTTCGAAATGGATGTTCCAAGCGATTCCGTAGCAATCGCCATCAACATCAGTGACAATCTCGCCGTCGTCAGTGACTGTTGCGCTGACCTCGAAGCTCCCTTCCAGTACAACTGATGGCGTATCGACAACTCCTCCTTTGGCTGCCCATAATCCTTTCAAGACATTGAGCTTGACGCCAACACTAGCAGGGAGACCCAGGGACGCCTCCATCTTGAGCTCACCAGTAGCTTCAGTTCTATGCGTAAGCACTGGTGTCAGACCATTGGAGTGACTATTGCTAGAGTCTAGCAGGTCAATCAAAATGTCAATGTTCTCCCACTCAACTGAAGCTCCGATAAGTAGGGTGCCAGTTGCTTCAATAGTTATCCCAGCTTGAACATCGAGACCGATATAAGGTCCAACAGTGCATAGAAGCGGGATGCCAAAGTTCCAGGGAGAGAATTCGGCGACAGGATATGTCCATTCCTTCTCATACGTGACGAAAGCCTCGAGTCCAAGGTTGAGTCCAGCTTTAAACTGAGCGTTGAACTGGATCTGAGCTTTCGTTATACCGTGGATAAGGCTGGCTTCAATGGTTCCGGTAAGTGAAGCCTTGCCGCCAAATCCACACTCGACGCAATAAAGGATCAGACCGTAGGACAAGTCGCGCTCTGGAAGCGTGGCGTTATCCCAACGTTTATGATGGCCATTTGGGTCGGCGACTTCGCCCTTTTTATATGAATCATCCTCTTCCCCGCCTTCTGAGCCCCATGCAATGAGCTTCGCCGCATTTGGCCATGGCGCGTCTTCATCTGTCCCAAGAAGCTCTTCGTTATTGCGATATTGAGACCATTCGTAGGACCAAGTCTTGCTCACGCGCTTTTCAAGCTTATGTGGCTCAAACATCTATATCAAGTCAGTTCAAACTCGAACAGTTGGCAGCGATGATTGCAACTCACGGCTCTCTTATCGATCGCCCACCGGACATTTAGTGTTCCGATTTTGCCGAAGTCGAGCTTGAAGCTCTCATATACATCTCCATATTCAGTGGTGGAGCCCTTAGCAGTGAATGCTTTGGTGGTATCGTTGAACGTGATGGATTGAGAGAGAAACAAGTCATTGGCATGATCTTCGCCGCACCCATCCACAGAGGTGATGAAGATGATCTTCCCAGCGCCCTTCCACTGCCCCTTGGCATAATTATAGGCCGCGGAATTCGATATCACACCGCTCAATGCACCCTTGGTATAAGACACACTCGAGATAAAGACGGAGTGGTCAAGAGGAATGACGGGGTATCGAAAGGTAAAGTTGGCTTGAGAGAAGATGGCGTTGTCGCGCTTCCTCATTCGTTTCGATCCAAGCTCAAAACGTGGCTGACCACGTTTTTAAGACATGGGGAAAATCGAGCTACATGAGGTATGGAAGAAAGACCACCTTTCCCATGTTCACATTCCGAGGCTTGGGGGCTGCCGGTCTGGACAACGCCATAGCGGCCGACACTTCTTCTCGGGAAACTTTGCGCTGGCATACTTTTGTCTATAATATTTTGCTCCGTTCTTCGGAAAAGGGGCATGGCCGTTTGCAGATCGCTGTAACTGTGTAAGGTTGTGAGTTTTAATATTCTGGATTCCCAGACTGCGTTTTAGGGAGTGGCGAAAACCGCATTCATATATATGGAAATTACGAGCACTGCACGCTCAATTTCCAGATAAGCTTCCTGTATATAATGACTGGTGCTAGGTAATTTCTCTATCTATTGAAGAGCATACCAATACCTCTCCTTTCCCCAATCATCACATCTTCCCCATCCACCATGAAGACCACTCTCCTCTACGCACTCCTTCTCCCCCTTCTCTCACCATCCGTCTTCGCGGCGGACGACGATGATGTGACCTGCCAGACGAAACTCGGCAAGGAATCAGCCGCAGATGTCCAGACTGTCACGGTCACCAAGACAGACAGTGTAGTCCCCACAACAACAACCACTATAATTCCAACAGTGGTCAAGAAAGCCAATCAATGGTCAACAATCACAGTGTTCTCTACAAAGACCTTCACAGTCACAGGAAAAGGCGGTACCGACACTTTCAGCACTACCACCACGCTGTTTAAGGTGGCCACTGTTGTGGTGACATCTACATCTACTAGAACCAGCACAAAGACGGGCACAAGGACTTCAACGTCTACTACTCAGATTCCAACTACTGCCGGGTTCAAGTTCATCTCGGACACTGTAAACTCGAGATCTTTGGATGCGCAAAAGCGTCATAGGCTGTTCCAGAAGCCTCATGCCCGAGCGATAATCAAGCCTGGAATAAAGGCTTTCAAATTCCCTTCAAAGGTCCAGTGTAAGTTCTGTCCATCGTTCGTCCGCATCTCTGCGATCATTTGATTGACATCTTTGTACAGGCACCAAACTCCTTCCAAATGCCAACACAAAGGTTGTCCAGAAAACTGGCACTCCATTTACCAAGACAGTCAATAGTATGCAGACAACCACTATTGTCAAGACAATCTCTACCACTACAACTCTCATTCCCAAAGATGTATCTGTCACCAAGTCCTTCACCACTTCCATGAAGGTCACCACCTACTCCACCAAGTGGAAGACAACAACAAAGTCTGCCACCCCCACCAAAACAAAGGTCATCTCCGGTCCCACCCAGTACGCAGCCTGCAAAGAAGCCAACATGTTTGGCCCCGACTTTAATAGCGCAAGCACAGGCTACTACGCCACCAACGTTCTCAACAACGGCCCTGGTATCCCATCTGATTTCCAGATTGTTGCGAATGGTGCCAGCAGCGCTGAAGAGTGCTGTGTCTCTTGCATGCAATTCACTGGCTGCGAGACCTGGAGCTTCCGTGCTGCTAACCGCAACTGCTTTCTTTTGTACCATGCTGGATCGACGTGCAAGTCACAGAGCAACCATCCCAACTACTTCATGTCTAAAAAGGGCGCCGATACTGGTGCTGGATTCGTTGTTGGTAATGGAAAATGTGGTTATACGTATAGTGGTAACAGCGATGGCTCGGTGTTTGCGGTTGATGTTTAAGTTCACAGATAGATAGTTTCCTTTATCGCGACATTGAGGCATAGCCAGCATATAATAGCAAGAATAAATTGAATCCACCCAATTATAGCTCATCTACTAAATATCTTCGAGTAATACAAACCTTTATATACCAGTGAGAACATACAGCTCTCCCGTAGAGTCACTGGTCAAGAATAGCCTTCCGTTCTTGTCGAATGCCAGGCCCGCCGGTCTGAAGCAACCGGAAGGGCACTTGGTGTTATCGGTGTTCCACATCAGCGGTACCTCAGCTTTAGGGTCGTCAGATTCCGGCACCGGTTCGCCATTGGCAAAGTCCACCTTGCTAAGACGGTAACCATCACCAGGGTTGCGGTTCCTGGAATCAGTTAGCAAACACTCATGCAACAGGTAAGCACATCTAAGGGCACTGACCAGCTTCCGTGGAATGCGATGTATGCCGCGCTCCCATCAAGGAACTTGATGTCCAATGGGGCGAGATGAGATCCAAATGTAATCCTTGGGGCTTGCTTCTCCTGACACTCCTCATCTGTGAATCCCAGATCTGTCTCACCGTCCGGTGTACCAGCAAACTGCTTGCCAACCACTGCTCCACCAGGGTAGTCCTTAACGTTGGAGGTGTCGTAGATGGAGAAGCATCCGGGGTATCCGTAGTTGGCACCGTACTGAGCGCTGGAGGTGTCGTTGGGAAGGCCGTGGAAGTTGAGTTCCTCACCGGGATTGGTGTTATGGACATCGACATCGCCTCGGTAAAGATTATCGACTGAGTTCTCAACGGACCACTGCCAATCGAGTTAGTCAACAAGCTACCACTGAACCAAACGTCATGGCTGTAAAGATTTACTCACGATATTGCCCGTAGAAGGGTCCTCTGCCCAGCCGACACTGTTTCGAAGACCCCAGCCAAGTACCTCCGCCTCACCATACACCAGAGGAGCATCCGACGCCAACAGCTCGTCAATCTTGAAGACTCTCACCTGACTGCGCACAACATCTTTATTCACAGTCTCGACATCCAAATTACCATCAGATCCGCCAGCCACGAGTAACAGGTTAGGATTGCCGGCGAGAGGGATCGTGAGGGTACGAGTAGAATGAGTCGAAGTGGCACTCATACCCGTGATGACGGTTCGACGAGACCCGACGGTGCCCTTGGAGGCATCGTAGTCGTAGGCATACACCTCGCTGGGAGTAGATACGAGAATGGTTTTACCATCGGCGGTCAAAGCAATGCCGTGGTTCAGCTATGTTGCAAAGTCATGTTACTATGATATACTCGCCGCTGAAGAACGTGCAGCATTGGAGGAACATACATTGGCGTTCGAGATCAAGGCCTTGTCAGAGTCGATGCAGACATCTAGGTCTTCACCATCATCGAGAACAACCCTCCTCACGCCCTTGCTGCCAGCCTCGGCGATCAAAAGATTGCCCTCAGTATCAACAACGAGGTGTCGAGGGCGTTGTAGACCGGTGCGCAGGAGCTTGAACTCGACGCCATCAGCGGTAGCGATGTTGGCCGTGGGGGTGAGGCTGCATTGTGCAGAGGTGAGGCCGACAAGAGTGGCACCGGCTGCCAGGAGTAGCTGCGCTAGACGTGTCATTGTGGTACTTTGAGAGGCTGTTCTGTGTCACAAAAAGAAAAGTGCGTTGTTTTGTCGGAGGAGGGCGACTAGCTGATAAATATATATGAATGGGGGTCAATCACTGCCTTAAGCATCGACATTAGCATTCCGGTGTCCCTTGCCAGTCACGGCAACAAATCCATGAGTGACATCATCCCATTCTTCAGAGACCGAGACGGGGCGAGAGAAAAAAAAAGTCCCTACTCAATTCAAGACTGTTTCCCGTACCCTATCCTTGCAGGACGTGACATCGTCCAGATACTGCCAAGACCTCCCTCCCAGCCGTCCCCTGAGGATTCTCCACTCGGGCGATAGTGAAAGGGAAGCAAGCGGCATACGATATAAGCTTAAATGCTTATGTTGCTAAACTGTCAGCTACCCGAGAACCCCCAGCCTAGCGCTGCCAATGTCGGTTCTTAAAGACATCTTTTCTCGACTCGACAGATCCACCTAAATGCGCGGAAGAATTACTTAGATATGCATCCAGCAATTGGCCCCGGAAGCTGCTTCGTTCCTTGCCTTGTCTAACTTCTCTATATTGCGCTTATTTGATCACTTGCCGAATCAGGCAGCTATCGGCCGGAGCTCCGCTGGCCCAATCAGGCAGGTGTTAACCATGACTCCGATGGGTGCTTCGCTATTGAACCTTTCAACCTTGGCTATTCTCTTACTTCCCGGTCACCTTTCTCAATATGACAATTGATCTAAAGAGACTTCATCTGTACTCTGTATTCTAGGTGGTATTGTCTCGTCATTCCCGTCTTGACAAGCAGAGTACTGGAGCCAAGATTCATCTTCCTCACATGGTACACCGGGAGACTTCAGATTTTAGAAGGCAATATGGACCTTGGTTGGGACCTTTTAGTGTGTTGGCATATATTTACATTTGCCTTCGATGTTGACATAATCCTGTTCCACAGATCGCGTTGATTGCCGTCCAGCCAATTATTAAGTGACTTCCTCGCCGCACTGTATAGACCTTTGTTCACCGTCCTGGCTGTCATTCCGCTGTTACTTAGCTCTTCGTAAAAAAATCATCTAGATCTCAACATACTCATTTTTCTGCTCTCAGAATATCGAGCCAAAATCCGTATGTCACTAGTAAAACTTGAAGCTGGCGGCACTTACCGAGTGCAACAAATCAACGATAGATATTCTACCTGTATATGTAGTATAGAGCAGAGCCAACTTGCTACATACCGACGGGGAAAGCAACCTGACAAGTAAAATGCGGTCTTTTTTACCTGTCAGGACGAATATAAAAAATAGAAGCCGTCATGGCAGTAATTAATAAGCCTAGATTGAAGTTGGCCCTTATAAGATATATAGAACGCATACGTTTTTATAAATCTAACATAATGAGTATGGGAAAAGAAGGTAATGCAGTGACCGCTTAGCCTCAGATGCAATAAACGCCCGAATCATAGTACAATTGCATTCTGAATGCTGCAGCAATAGACTCTTAAGCTCAAGTACTTCCTTAATGAAGCCATCGCAGCGGGCTCTCAAGACCTCATTCTCTTCTTGCAGCTTCTCCCCGTAAGCTTGCAACGCCTCTGCCTCATGCTGTTTGCGATATCGATACTTGCGAGCAATGTTTCTATTTCTCTCTCGAATGCGCGATGCTCTGTCTTGTGTAAAGTCTTGGCTCTGGCTGCCTTTGCAAGAATACCCTCGCTTTGCGACAGTGGGAGTCTTACGTGACAGAGACTTTGCGTATGAATGCTTCTCCTGAGTAGCCTGAGCGCGGCTATGAGTGCCATCTTTCGAGCATGCTGTGGCTGAGAAATCCTGCCTGTGGACTGAGGAGGTGATAGCTTCTGTTTGCACGCCCCCAGACCTATCTAGCCATCTCTGACAGAACCAAGGATCGAACTGAACGATATGATTTGGGTAATCAATAACTGTATTCGACGGTTCAAGGCCATGGAAACCGAGATCAGTATCGGGTGGCGATGGAAAGTCAGGGTATCCCAAGGGCTGATGCCACGTATTTTCGATGAAGCCAGACGGAAATGTATCCATGGTAGTTGCTACTTGACAAAGTCTCTCAGCTTTGACCAGATTTACATAGGGATTATTGCTCTACTTACTATATGGTGTACCTGGATACTGTTTATGTTCCTTGTATAAGAAGCTTGCGCCTATTCAGATTAGTTATTCCCAACGCTCTGCCAGTGTCCGTGCAGCTACTAGAGCCAGCCCTTTTGTATTCCTCCGTTAGCCTTCCGCATCAGCAGTCAGGTTCTCTCTTCACTCCTCTCAAGTATCTGAGATGGAACGTCACAGTAGGCGCAAGGGTCATACCAGGGGTTGGTGGTCTAGACCGCCGCCTTTCCCGACTCAAAGCTGAGATCAGATTCTTGACAGCTTGTTTGGCTTGCGGCTGAGGAAACATGTTTTACCGTCATATGATAATGGCGGGAAGCCGCATTTTCGTCTTTGACGATACGATTTCCGAAAATGGATTTAGTCCGATGCGGTATTGCTGAATTCCCGTTAGAAGGCTCAAGTCAACCAGGTCCTCGGTATTCCGACAGTGATTTAGAGGTTTTCGTGGCGTCAGATGCGTAAGCAGCCACATGCCCGCAGGGGACTAGGTTATTCGGCGAATAGAGTAATGCCGCAATGAGGGGCTTAGATTATCATCACTCCATGTCGTGCCACCCGGGACTTGAGAAGTTCTTTGTCACATGACCTACTGCTTCAGTCTCTTTTGATAAGGATATGGTGCCATGGTGTCGGCCTTGTACCTCCGTAACATGAGACACTGGCGATACAAATCTGAGAGAAGCTACTGGAAGTTAAGGATGCATAGATATGCAACAATTACTTATCCTACTGCTTACCCCGTGACACCAATTGTGTCACGTTGACTGGTAGCACCGGGAGTTGGGTGACACTTTAATTAAAGTCTTACGATATTCTTAAGTGGCTTGGCTCTATTACTGCTTACCTCTGATTGCTTGTGAAGACCACGACAGGGTCACCTATGTAGGACCAATCACGGCTCTCTGATTAGTACTCCCCGTCGACACAATTCTTTCATTACTACACAAGCTAAAAAGGCCATAACGTGCGCTTTGTAGTAGTAAAAGAATAACCATGGAGAATAATGGGACAAGCACTTAGTGCTACTCAAACCTGTTGTAGGCCTATGTACCTATTCCCTAATATGGTTAGCTATGTGGTAAAAGGCAGAGCTCCAAATAAACTACATATTATCAGAGCTTGAGCCTCGTGAAAACAATGACTGATCACGGCCTCGATCTTGAATTAAGAAAATTACAGCAGGAATCAGGGGATTTCGCTTGCTGTGCCGTCAAAAAGCAATGCCGAGCATAAGATCGCAGCACTATAGGCACCTCAAGTGGGAGTGATTGTAAGCCTTTCCACAGCTGGAGATGTCTTGACAGGGGTGGGAAGTGTGGCGGTCGGCAATTGAGAAGCCTGGTAAGGGACGAGCAGCCAACATTGAACAGATATGTGATGGGCTGTGATTATAGTTGGCTAGAGCGAAGGCTATGCTATTGTTTAATTTGTGCAAGTAAGTCAAATAAATAATTCTATGAGGCCAGATCTCCGATTTTAAAATCAATACTTGGTCTACGGCCATTTTTGATGGACGAGAGGGCATTCCCAGAGCTTGGCACTGTTCTGGGCTATTGAATTTCTCTCTTAAGCTTGTAAAACCCCCGCCTCTGGATGACGTGTCGTCTCACAGCCCGGTCTGGACCTCAGCCCAACATAACACATGGACCGGTCTAGACCCTTTCATAGCCAAAATCGATTCGCCGACGTAGGGAAACGGAATTAGCCGCAAGCCCGGCTCCCCGACCCCATCATGTTACTGAAATATGATAAGCATAGAGATATTGGCCCTGCCGGAGGGTCGAGAACGTATGATCGATCGCCAAGTCTCAGAATCGGTCGACATGGCACGCGGTACGCCACTATCTCGGTACAGGGCTGGGTGTTTTGTTTGCTGCGGGGCTCCAAGTCACGGCATACCACGACAACGAGATTCATTTAATAGCCAGGCCGTGCTTATTGTCTTGAAATGTGAACCATTAGCCACCCAATTCATCTGGCAGAGGGTTATATAAACCGTTTGATCAAACCAACAATCAACCCACCAACTACCACCTGCAGCTCCAGATGGCCGCCCTGGAATTCGGTCGACCCTCCAACACCCTGCATCAAGGCGCTGATGACAATCAGCCGCTAGTAGGTCATCCCTTACGTCCTTACCGTCATTTACCCAGCACTGCTTCTGCTTTAGCTCTTGATCATGCCATCCATGTTGATTAAGAACATGAACTATACTGACTCACACCAATCAGATGCCTCTTGACCTAGCAACTGAGCAGGGTAAGTGTCCCCCTCCTTCCAAGCTGACACTTGTGTTCTTACTCTTGAACAGCAACTGCTCAAACCCTCCCGTGGGGTGTGGATGAGTACTTATCCGAGTATCTCTCCAACACCTCCAGCTCACCTGAGCTTGCTGATTATGTGCAAACTCATTACCCTTTCAACTACCTACCGAACCCTACAACAATACCAAACCACGACGCCGACATGGTAGCCCCTACCAACAGAACAATTGAAGGATCTCCTGCGACAGAGAAACAGAACTTGTCACCACCCCAAGCGGCTCAGGGCGCACAGATGACCAATCTCCAACTTCGAGCCGCTTCACGCAAGCCTAAGAACCGCCGATATAAGGTGACCACAGACACGCCAGCACACGTCCGAGAATGCCATCATCTCGCCGAGAAGCAGTACCGCATCCGACTCAAGGCGCAGTTCGAGAGTCTGTTGGCAGTGCTGCCGGCGTCCAGAACAAACACCCTAGCTGATAGGGACAGCTCGCCAAGCTCAGGGCAGGTCTTGAGTAGGGGTCAAATACTTGACCTTGCACGAGAGCGTATTCTCGACTTGGAACAAGAGATTGGAATCATGAGGAGCATTACATCTGATGGAAATCCCTTAACCTGATCTATTTTGGGATAGGACTTCTCTTGAATGAGGCATTAAGAAGCTTCATCCATGGTAGCTGTCGTGCCATTCATGAATCAGATTATGGAATCCCTTCCTTACTAATGACCTATTGTTGTTTTACCACTCAAACCCAACTATCTTCGTGGTACTTATCGCCCTTTATCTAGTTCAGTCCGGCCGAAGAGACGTGCTCAATAGATATAGGTTATCGGAGAGAAAATAATTATTATACCTTGATCCGCCTATCACTAGACAGCAGCAGAGAGGTTTAAAACTTTTATTCTAAAGTTTTCATTTTTTTTATATATAATGCTCTAAGATCTTCATCCTTCACCATATTAACCAAGGATCTTATTGAGGTTTACCCTTGGCTAGATCGTACTCACACTTCTTAGTCAAGATAACGTCAGTGATAACGAATAGCGGGCTTTCTTGCTAGAGAACGTTCCGACAGTCCATCTCTATATTTAAAAAGGATCAGAGTAACAGTTCAGCTTGGATATAATATTGAATAATTGACTAAAATAAGTAAAGTTCCATGCGTCTAAAATTCATGGCTGAGCTGAAAATGCATGGCAATGCTTTATTGGCTTAGACAAGTAATAGTCACCAATACTACCCCACTTAGGCCCAAGATGGTGTACCTGATGCAAGTCGTGGTAGGCTGTAATGCAAGTCAGCGGAGCTCACACCAATAATTACATCTCAAAGTCTAAGACATGTGAGTCTGGAACGTCTGTCTAATTCGCCTGATAAGACAGCTATAGTCTGCTGAATGACAATTTCTTATCTCAGAATTTATATATATATAGTCTTGATCAGCTGTTCTGAGCTTGCTGTTAAACTCATTACTCCTACCCCAGTTATCATCACTTCACCAAGCCAGGCTATTAAAGACTCAACCATGGAGGTTGTTGGAAAGATCGTGGACTTCGCCATTGACTACCTTAAAGATGCTGCAGCAGAACAAGAAGCCAAAGCGCGTCAGGATCAGATCATGACCGCATTGGACAACATCCAATTGACGCTCAACTCACTCCAAGACGAGCAGCAACAGTCAACCAACATTGCGATGATTGGGGGCAGTTTCACCAACATCGAGACCTGGCAGACACGGTATGCCACTGCACTCAAGTTTAACAACACTAACGAGATCAATACCTTGATCAATGAGTTCAATGAAAATGCGCCGACCTATCTTACCAACATTTTCAATGTTCTGAATGGACAAGGTCTTGGTCCAGGCACGGTTCCTTTACTTAAATCGTGGCATGCGGCCAGTTACGCAAAGATGTACACGCCAGTCGATGGCCAGTACACTTTCACTATGAATAACTACCTCGATGACTACAATAAAATCGTTTCATGGGGTGTCAGCATGGCTGGCTATGCCTTCATATGTCAGATCATTGCACTACGAGGTTAGCGATCCGTTGTCCGAAAGGGTTGAGTTTGGTGATGCGTCAGACCGGCTAACTTGGACCAAACAGTACTCGCTGCGCCTACTATGTCAGCCAGTGATCTCCAGGGAGAAGCTGACCAGTATACATCCGACTTCAAGGCAAACGCAGCTGCCGTCGCTAGCGTGGCATATGACCAGTTCCCATCCTTTGTAAAGAAGTTCAAGCCAAACTATACAGATGTGGGCTCAAATCTCAACCAATGGTTCAGAATGTGGCAGCCAGGCCAGCATATTAAGAACTACGTTGGATGGATGGAAGATGGTCGCTGGGTTCCGGACAACCAAAATTACGGAGTATTCAAGAATGACACAAACGCAATGTACCAGATCTATCCATTAGACTGCGACGATGACGAAGGCATCTACCCAGCTGTTGAGTTCCGTTTCGACGAAGCGAGCCATCCGCTAAATGGTCTTGCAACGGTCATTTCCCGTGTCGATGGAGCGACTGTTTCCTTCTACAACTGGGAGGGACACAGTGATGATGGTATTCCTGCTGGTATTAACTCTGCGGGGCTCACCACGACTACAGATCCCCAGTACTGGTGTGACCGTGTCACCTTTACTCAGGCACTCTTCAATATTCTGCCAGTCAGTGCTGAGGACATGAAAAACAACCCGGCACCGGGCTTTGTTCTCATGCTGGCAAATGATCCACCCCACCGTGACGGTGGAATATTTGATTGGGTCCCCGGTACGGCTTCTCCCCTTAGTTACTGGATTCTGCGCGATGACGGATTGGATCAAACATCATGGGTCCAAACACAGAACAGTGCCTCTACGGCACCTGGAGATGATTCAAGGGCCCCTTCACCAAACCCATCAGAATAGTTCAAGACTAGTCCTACTACATTTATCGATTCTCATAAAGTTCTAGAAGCCAGGGAAGTCGAACCTCTCCTCCGGCTCCTGGGCAATAGCACCCTCCTCTCGCTCAAAGGACCCGAGCATACTGATATGCAGACGGTGAAGCAGCGGGTCCGCCTTCAACAACGATGCCTGGGAAATGACATCCTCCAGATCCTGTTCTACATCATAGTATCTGCCCCTTAGCGCATCTTTCGCAATGCCCGTCGCGAGAGCTACACATGACATGCCAGCCAAATGAGGCGAGCCAGTGAACCTTTTCATCCACTCATCGAAGTGGGCCATGATCTGAGGGAACTCTGCAAGCGCAACATCTTGATGCCCATCTAGTGGCGTAACGCGTTCCGTCAGCATATGTTAACAAAATTAATAGGAAAAAGTGTTCACTGACCTGCTGTCTTCATGCCCGAACGTATAGCGCCTGGATGGATCGCGTATAGATTGATATCAGATGATGGAGCAACTTCATCAACCTCGGCCTGGAGGACGCTCGTCAACTTGGTCAGAGCAGCCTTGCTGGTGCAATAACTAATGTTGAATGGGAAGTCAACAGTAGCCGCCTTGGACACAATATTAATCACGCAGCCTCGACGTCTTTCAATAAAGCCAGGTAACACCAAACGCGTCAGAACGAGTGGTCCGTTGAAGTTGATTGCCATGTCCCGAATGAAGATAGCAGGATCCTGCTTATGGAACTGTGCATGCGCTTCAGCTTAATTCCTATGTCTGGGAAAATGCTTGGGGCAGGACACTTACCACGCGGATACCAACAACTCCGGCACCATTGATAAGGACATCGATATCACCTGCAGTGGAAACGGCCTGTTGATATATATTAGTGACCATCCCGTGGCTCATTACTGGGCACAGCATACTTGTTTCACCAGCTCCTCGCATTCATTGGGGTTCCCGACGTCGCAGCGATAATAGTGCACTGCATTAGCACCAAGATGTAAAAGACGATCCTTGGTAAAGTCTGGCAGCGAAGGCTGTATATCGGATAGGAGGAGAGTGGCACCGGCAGTAGCAAAGCATTCAGCGGTCGCGCCGGCAATGGTGCCCAGAGCACCTACTAAGAGTTAGATAACAAGAACAAGTTTATAACCTGGCTCCAAGCCGCGTACCAGTGATTAGAACATTCTGCCCTTCTAAGGAGTTTCTGAACTTCGATGGATGAAGGAAAGGATAGATCTCATTGTGAATGCGGGGGGGCTGCTGTCCTGCCATGTTGATGCTGAGAAATACGGGGGGCAGTCTGATGGCCTTCACGCTACATTAGAACAACCAGGTAGAGCCTTTATAGTTTATACATCCACATGTAGTGCTGACAGCTGGATTCTTGAACAGCGGAGAAATGTAATCGCGGGGTCAGCATGTAACCAGGGTAAAGTTCCCGAACACTGGGCTACATCCGATCCCCTTCCGACCCGAGGCTACACCATCTTGAGGAAATGACAGATGATCAGCGGATAGGGTGGACTCTAGGCCAATTCAAAACGTGTACCAGTTTACGTGGCTTGAAAGTACCTCGTTTATCTAGTCGCACTACCTATCTAGTCGCCTCGGGTTTGCCTCGGCCTTGCCATTGCCAACCAACGCTACCTCCTCGATATTTTGCACATTAAGCCTCCCTTCTTCTCAGAAATACCCACGCTCAAAGTCTCAACCGGTTCTTCCGGGTGGAGCATCTCCAGTTTGTAATTTCTCAGTACTGTAGAGAGCACCTTCAAAATGTTCATCATCGCCAGGTTCTTGCCTATGCACATACGATGCCCAGTACTGAAAGGCGACAAGTAACTCTGGAGCTCCTTGCCGTTGGGTCCGAGGAAGCGATCTGGGATGAACTGGTCGTGGTCCTCGCCCCAGACCGATGGGTTGTGGTGAACGACGTGGTTCAGAGCGAAGACAACGGTCTTTCTAATATTAGACTTGGAATTCTCTCAGAGGGTGGCTCAACCTCACCTTCTGAGGTACTTGTTGTCCCTGGATCGTGAATCCACCTGGAGTCATAATCTTCCGAGGCAATGGCATGGTGAACACAGGGTTAATCCTGAAATTTTCATGTATGCATGCCATAGTGTATGGTAGGTCTTTCTCGAGGGCCGCGTAGGGAATGACTTGACCTGCATGACTAGACAAGTTCGCATCTAATTCTTTAATTACCTTGTTCAACATCTCGGTGTTCTTCAACACATGGGAGAACAATAATGTCAGTGTTCCAGAGGTTGTATGAGAACCAGCGACACTGCGGCTTGTGAGAATATGGCAAGAAACATAGACAAAGTCACTTACACCATTGCAAAGGCCTCGGTATTGATATCCAACTCAGTAAGCTTAGACCCAGTCTCAGGGTCGACGGCCACCAGTAAGGACGAGAGAAGGTCCCTGCGATCGCTGTTACCAGCTTCAATTCTTTGCCGGACGCACGCCGCGGTCAGATTCCGAAGCTGCGCACGAGCGTTGAGTAGGCGTTTGATCCATGGAATGGGGATGAAGGGTAGAACCTTCTTGATCCACGGGAGAGCCTCTGGTGTCATTCCCATCAAACAAGCGAGATAGATATGGTCGTTGATGGGCGGTAGCCGGGATAGATCTCTCCCATCCTGCGAGTCGAAACTTCTGCTGAAAGCGAGCTCACCAAGCACGTCAAAGACGTAAAAGGCAATCATGTCCTTTAGATCAAACTCTTGGTTGGTGTCACAGAAGTTGTCAAGGTTTTTCCTAAGTTTCATGATATGGCTGTCAACGAAATGCTCCATCTCCTTGATAGATTGCAGGGAGAAGGCATGGGCCATTTGGCGACGCCTGATGGCGTGAATCTGATACAAGGCTTAGTTAAAAGCTCATCGAGGGACGAAGGTTAGCATACCTCTTCATCTTGTGTTCCAAACAAGTTAGGATTGAAAGCCGTAAATCCATCATAAAACCCCGTCTTTTGTAGTTGTCGGCCTGCCTTGTAGATGGTATTAACGGCATCGGGATTTCGAAACGACAAGTCATTTGGCCCGACCCGTACGACGTCGCCATACTGCTCATGCAGACGAACAAGCGTATGAGGGAGATGTAGGCTCCAAAGATGGTATGTCTTCCACAAGTTGGTGAGCGAGGCGAGTGGGGGGCCAGGGTACTTGGCGAGCGGGTGGAGGTAGCGGTAGTAAACAATGTATCCAAGCACCAAGAAGCCGACCACGGTCGACGTTTGAAGGAGGATTGGCAGGCCAATGGCCCAGCTCATGAAAGATTCCATCTTAAGTGATATTTTAGCAATAAATGTATAATAAACGTAAGGAAGAAACAAGAAGTTATAGCTCCCGCTTTTATACTTACTTTGCACATCTACAGGCTCATCTGCTTACATACTCTATGCCGACTGGAAGCTACATTCGGGAAGCGCGGAGGCGGAACTAGCGTTCTTGAGCAACACGGAACTAGTGTGTGTATCGGAACTAGTACAGTGGATTTCCCCGCAAGCTCAACTGCCGATAATTTAGATCCAAGACCCTCGGATCGGAAAAGGCACACAACGGAGACCAAGATAACTGTCGGGGCGAGGAGCTCAAGAATGGCTTTATTGTCTTATGCTTACAATCGATGTTTACTTAATCAGCTGCCCTTTTAGCCATTTTACGACCAGACTTCAGCCAGTCCATACTAACATACTGTCATTACATAGAATAACCTCCCGTAACTGGATAATGCCTTTATTCGAGGTTCTCATGTAAAAGAAACGAAAAGTCAGGAAAGCCGTCAATTCCAATGCCGATTTCAGACGAGAATGTGAAAACTCCAGACAAAGACTCAAAGGGTAGATTCGAGTTGAATATTGAATCAGTCGGTGAGCCCGGCAATAAACCATCCCTTCCACGGTCTTCACTGGGTCCTGTATGAGGGTCACTTGACAACGCCGGTTTTGGCAATGCGTTCAACCATTGAGGAAGCTCTCGTAAGCCCTGCAGGCGATGCCATAACTGGATCATTGGGGGCGACCTTGTGCTGAGAAGCTCAATAAGATCAAGCGCTTGATCAAATTCCGTTCGCACCGTATCCCAGAATAGGCTATGGGCATGTACAATTGCGAGTAGGATATTCCCAAATGCTGCAACTAGAAGGTGTTTGAAGAAGAGAACATGGGAGAATATCAATGTTCTGTGAGTACTCAGTCTGCGAAGCGTCGACACCGCGTCTTTGGCCAGGCGTACTGCGATATGGGCCTTGGCTTCGTGTTGGTTGATTCGAGAGACAGATTGCAGTACAGGACGGAAGATCAAGTTGCGAAGAAGACTTTGACGAAGATACAGAGCTGCTTGAATAAAAAGGGACGTCGAGAATGGCTGACTTTGGCAATGGCTTATGTCGAGCTTGAGGTGCTGTGGTAGATCGTCATACCACTGGCTGGCCTGGGCGTCCAGATACTCGAGATCATCACCTTGGACCTCTGCTCCGTTCTCTCCGTCGATGTTCATAACCTTCCACGCGCCCCCTACAAGCTTAGTCCACTTGAGCAGACAGCAAAGTACAGGATCTGAATTATCCTAAAGAGGCGTCAATAAGATAGTTTCCATTTTTGTATGTAGTCTTGCCACCAACCTGCAGAAATAGCGACTGGTCCACGTAAGAGTCTTGAATGGAGTACGGAATGCCCTGGCCAAGACAAATGCGTCTTTCAAGCATGTATACAGACCAAAAGACATTCAACGCAGTCTTTTGATCCTCATGATTCACAAACACCTTCTTTATAGTTGTGTGTCGATGTAGACCTATCTCCAAGCAAAGTCTTGCTGCAAGCCCAATCATCCTCCCTGTCCGGACTTCATCGTCAAGTTGGTAATGATAAATGGCCTACAAAACGAATTAGTAGCCAGTCTGGACTAGTGATAGAGCTGCTAACAGTCAATACCAACAGCTGTATGCCACTGATGCCACTGGGATTCCATATCAGACTCTCAACTGCTTCTGTTGTGCTTTGGAACAACCTCTGGGCTTGAACGTTCCTACCACCATTCTCCATTGTTTTGCTAACAGCGAGAACAATCTTCAACTTATTAGTCTCGTCATTCAAAAGAACATCTGCTGCCAGCTCTCTTCGGGGGACCGGCGCCCTAACATTGATAGGCTCCATAACTGCATATAGCCTGTCAAATGTGCCTTGCAGCTCTTGCTCGCGCAGAAATGGGTAAAGACTGCCCATGCTAGTGAACCATTTTTTGACGAGAGTAGCAGCCTCCGTCTTAGGTATATCCCATAACGGATCCATAGTCACAAGCTTCATGAACGGGCCATAACTCGAGAAGCGAGATGGGACATCCGAAATGTTCCCACTATCACAGCTCAGCTCGCTGAGAAGAGCAGAAGGCATGCCCATCTCCCTGAGGTTCCCGCTAACAGCTCTTAAGGCGAACTCGGAGCTTGACGGGCCGCAGAATTCCGGAACGCTTTGCGAAGCATGTGGCATCATTCCAGCTTTCTGAGTCTCACCATAGATGAGCGTGGATTCATTTGTAGTTATTTTGGAACTGTCTTCGGCAGTTGCGTTGCATGAGGTGACAGTATGGATAGGTGCGTTGAGTGTATTCCGAGGGTTCGCCCTATTTTGAGATATTAATATGACCTCCTGCTAGAATCGCAAGGACGCACAAGGCCGGATTCGGCAGACTTTGCGTATTTTCATAAACGCATATTCTACGCAGCGCAGAGCATCCCCTACAAGGCTGTTCACCTTTCAGGCGGACTTAGCATTGTTACAAGACTTGGGGCTTGAAAGATTTACCATCACACTTGGTCTTTCGTCGTCTACAGTAGGTACTAGGCTACAGTCAGCTACATGTATGGTGTGGCGTGGACGGTGGGCTACCTACCAGGCCTGGTTGACATATTGCGCTCGTTTGGACCGGGCTTTAGTTCTTGACACTGCTTTGCGATTCTCACCCATAATGATCTCACCTTGGTGTAGTTTCAGGAATGGGAAAAATATGCGGAGCGGGCAAGGATACTCGACTCGACCGTCATGCCGAGACCCGTTTTAACCGAAGAAAAGAGCGGTATTTTGGCCAATTGGAATGTGGTATTTCCGATGTGGGGAACTGAGTTCTGACTACAGTATTTGCAAGTACCAAGGATCAGCAGAACCGAGCCATTGCGCACATATGAGACAATTAATTGTCGATGCGCATAGACATTGACTGAGGGAGTTCAAGTCGTCTTCCCTTCAGGGATCTCTAAAGCTGATTGAACTTCTGTCTTCTTTACTCCGCTTCCGGACGGCGACCGGCATAAGAGCAGACCGCAGCTTCCGATGACGCGCCAAGGTAATGAGCGCCTAAAGATTTACCCCGGAGTTTTATTCCGCCCCTAATCACCCCTCCCCACCCCAGATCCGGTCACCATTCCTCAAACAGAAACATCACAGGACACAGTACTTCCTTGGTTATAACGAAGCCCTTCAAAGCATGCACCGAATGCCGAAGATCAAGCGGAAATGCACCTGGCGAGTTAGAGACTGATGCGACCAGTGTCAGATGAAGAATGTCAAGTGTACTTAACAAACGTCACGGCCCAAAGACTTTCCCTGCCGCCAAACGGTCGATATCCCAGTCAACGTCGCTACTCGTCTTGTTCATCACTATCTCACCAAGCTCCATAATCGACCCCATAGCTTGTTCCACCCCGCTACCCTGAAGAAACAGGTACAGGATGGCTCTGTCAATAAAGCGCTACTACTGGCTATTTGCAGTATGGGTGCTAGATTCGATGCACATGACAAGATTAGGTCATTGGAAGACACATACATTGGCGAATCCAAGGGCTTACTTCTGGCGGACTTGGAAAACATTTGCATCGAGAACGTGCAGACATGTATTTTAATCGCTAACCTCTACGCTGCCCACCTGAACCCCTCTTCTGAAGCCCTATTCTTCCGTAAGTGGTACACCGAGATTCCTCTTCGGCGGCTACTTACCGTTCACAGGTATTGGTGTCAATCTGCTGCAAATCATGGAAGCCGACGCTCTAGCGACGAGACGGAACTGAGGGTTCCCTGGCAGCCGGGCCTTTGGGCGCACAAGATTTCTCTGGTCCGCCTGTTTGGACCGATCAAGGATCTCAATCATCGCAGTGTTCATAGAAACATCGGTAACGACGAAATTGAGTCGACTATCGCGTCGCTGTCTGCGGTACTGCAAGACTGGGAACAGACAATACCCTCATGTGCTAGGATGAGCATGGAGAATCTTGAGCGACACATTGAAGAAGGCCATGGGGGCGCATTCATCGCTATCCACTTAGGCTATCATCACTACGCCACCCTACTATACTTTCGCTTTCTCGAGCCTACAGCCTCTTCATCACCACTGGCAGCGATATATCAAGCCAAGTGAAAATTACACGCTTCCTCGTACAGCGACCTCCTTAAGCTAGCTCAGCAGAAGGACAATTGCGAGGTTGTCTACCCAACTGTCGGTCACATGGCAGTTGTATCCTCATCTGTCTTGCTCCATACGCTTTTGTTCAGTTTGGACGAGGATGTCCAACCTGTCCGAGATGCCCTCAAGCCAAATTTTGAGGCGATCCTCGAACTGCGACGCTACTGGCCAAACACTGAGTCCATGGTATGTTATTCAACTGTGAGAAAATGGGTGGGACTGACTTTTGATAGATGCATCGACTCGTCACTTTTCAGAATTACTGCTTACTCTCCAGTGATTACAGAACACATACGCTTGACGGCTGGATGCTGCGATTTTTGATACAATACTCGCTTCCTCTTGGTGAGAAGGAACTTGCGCCAGTAACCGCGGGCATGGATCTTGACATGGACAGCTTTGAAGCTCGTGCTCAAGAGGTCAATGGACAGGGCAAATACACTGCATTTGACACTGAGGCTCTGACGTTGGATGGCGTAAACATGTATAATATTGACGAAAGTGCTGCGATTTAGGAGGAGAACAACATGGCAGAGACAAGGATAGGGATATCAAGGTTCTACAGTTCAGGTTGATCGATAAATAATTTAATGATATGGACAGTCTTGAAGTATTTCTAAGCTACTCGGAGACAGAATAAAACGTTACCTCGGCAATCATCGTCCTAGCTGGGATAGTGACAGATATAGGAAAGCCGCCATAATCAGGATCCTCGTTAGGCATCATAGCAAGGCTGCCACTCCTGGTCTCATCCCCATTCAAAACACGAACTGTTCGCAAACTACCAGTCTCCTCATCATCGACAGCCTTCTCCTCGAATTTGAGGATCCCGGTAAAAGTTGCATTCTGCGACGTACTCTTTGCGCTGACATGGAACCCCCACCCGATCAGAAGGAACTTGCCGCCCCCTCGATGAATGACCATTCCTGATCCTGTCCCTGCCTTTCCAAAGACAAAGCATCGATCGATTGTGATGTCGAAACCTCCCCAGCTCCGCTTGATGGGTTGAGAGATGCTCTTGGATTCACAGCTGGCAATCTCGTCGAAGCAGAACCCGACTGATGAGTTACGTTGACGCTGTGCTTCAAGAATAATAGCTGACACTGACTTAAGAAGCGCGTAATGCTTGGTGAGGGGACTATCAGCTGGGTCTACCGTATCAACCCCGAAAGGAGACGTGCCGATGGCGGCATGTGAGCCAAAAGCAATCCATATACGCCGAACGCCATACTCATCTCGTCTCATTTCCGGAACAAAGAGCGGCTGATTTCTATGCCTATACTTTGCACAGGACTTGCCGTAATCGTTGAGATAGATATCAGGGCCGAGGAAGTCCAGGTTGGGTGCGAACTGCATCCAGATATCCATGACGTTGCTTACAGCACCGCCAGAGGGATAATCCCCGGGCATATCGCCCCCACCCACGATGACAGGGAAGTCGTTATCGCTATCATCCCCGGCGTAGTTCATCCACATATTGGTGTAATGTGGAATAGGATATTGTGCTTTGCCAGCGGCTGCAACTTGGTTCACGTAGAGAGCGTAGTGATACGCCATGAAGAGCTCGTCGGTATGTGGACTTGATCCGAAAACTGTCTCCCAGTCGCCACCTTCAAACTCGCGCAGAGGATCGAAGTGTGCCAGGTTGTGCGTTTTCATATCTTCGTGAAGGCTCTCCCAGCTTGAAGTGAGGAAGTCAAGTAGCTCCCGAGGAACAGGTTGGCGAAAGGCTTGCTCGGCTAGTTCAGACCCATCACGCGAATCGCCCAGCAAACCACTCTCGTTCTCAACCTGAACCATGATGACTGTGGAGTATGGCTCGTCGAACTCGCGTAGATGTTGCATGAGTGCACCAAAGGCCTTGGTGTCAGCTTTACGACATTCCGGGTGGAAGATTGATACGACATCAGCCGCTTCAAGACGACCACCAGCTTTGCGTAGTTTTGCTCGGGGAATCGCTTCGTGTTCTGCTTGATCCACGATAGCACATATGTCGAAAGACCTAAGCCCCGTCAATGTTTGCCAACCATGTCTCAGAAGGGATACGTTACCGTTTTTGAATGAACCAAACCAAAGCAACACAAGATGCATCGAGTGCTTCCGTGCCGCAATGATGATCTCGTCCAGGACAGAAAAGTCGAAAACATCCTCTTCAGGCTCTATCATCTCCCAAGTCACAGAGCCCAGCAGAGTGTTGATGTTTGTGTCGACCATCTTTTGCCAAATCGGCTCCATGTACTCAACCGATGACAACGAAGAGTTTTGAAGTTCGCCTGCTCTCATGAGAAATGGGCATCCGTTGACGATGAGCTGCTTGGAATTCTCATTGCGCCTCAGGTGAGGAATGTCGATGCTGAGTGAGCCCATGTTATGTTGGTATGTTCAATGCGATGTGCGAGATAGAGTTGTAGAATGCACGCGAGGAAGCAAGACTAGGACTGAGGGGTAAAGTAGGGTAACAACAGTTATTGAACAACGGAAGGGACACGCGTGACACTCAATGATATCATGGTAAACGGAATCCAACCTTTGCGATTGGTTGGTACGCCGACTATTCATGTGTCGTGCAACCCGGAATATATGTCTTCTTATTGGCTGCAATGCCGCTCCTACAAGGCCGTGGCGTGGCGAATGGCGATACGAGCAATTATCGATGGCCAGAGATTGTAGCTGGAAAAGCATGAACTTGCTCCAGCCGGGCTAACAGAATTATTCCCCTTTCAACTTCTCCATGTTCAACACTTCCAACAAACGGAGCATAGCTTTGCTGGTCCAAGTCTCGACACCTTAAAAGCGTCGGCTTTCCCCACTCACTGGAGGTTTTACTTTATCTATATTATTATTCTGGTTATTGAAGTGGCTTGTATCTGGTTCTTGTTTGTTGAGGCCAAAGGCCCGACGCTGGAAGAAATTGCTGTCCTGTTTGATGGCAAGACGCCAAGGTTGTAAAGAGGCTGACCGAGGGCGACAAGCAAGAGACGTTTGAGGAAAAGATAGAGGTGTGAGGTCACTAATTTCTTGATTTTGGCTACTATGTAGTTGGGTTCTTTACAATCCACATAGTCTTAACTAAAGGCAGTTGGCGCGCTTGGTCTGATACAGGTAACGGAAGGATTTTGAGTTTGAAGCGCCTAATCAACATAAACAATCCATCATCATTCCTTGAGCTTAAAGTATCGCGCAAAGAACATGGAGTTGGCAGCAAGGATAACAGGCACCACGCTGACCATCTCTCCCAAACCAGCATACCGAGGTGGAATCCTGAACTCAACCCAAGCACCGCTAGCCATCGTGATCGCCAGGATATTGTAAACAGCAGACCATACAAAGTTGAAGTACATGCGCTGGAATGAGACTTTGCTGATATCAAGAAGGAAAGGAATGCCTTCAAGGCCATTCAGGAGAACGACATCTGCTGCACCCTGTGTCACATCGCTGCTTGTCAAACCACCGCCCATTTGAGCGCCGACGTGAGCTTGAGCTACAGCAATGGCGTCATTCGTGCCATCACCGCAGAACATGACTTGCTTGCCCTGATCCATCAGAGAAGCGACATAGTCTCTCTTTTCAGGTGGAGTACGCTCACCGACAACATTCTCAGGTGGGATACCAACAGATGCCGCAACAGCGTGGACAGCTTTGATCTGATCTCCAGAAACAAGGTGAACGTTGATGTTGCGAGATTTGAGCTCAGAAATAACTCGGACTGCTTCTGGGCGTACCTGAGCTGAGAGGCCAAAGACGACAAGAGGAACAGAGTTGCGAGTCACGACAAGAGTAGTGAGACCACCATGCTGAAGGCGCGACACATCATCCAGTTTGTCAGCTCCAGTCCATCGAGCATTCCCGGCTCTGAGAGTTGAGTCTAGGTAATCTGCCTCGACTCCAGCGCCTGGGACAACCTGAACATTGACCACTTCGGGCATGGCCTTGATGGACTGTCCTTCAAGATGTTTCTCAACGGCGGCCGAGACGGGATGTTTGCCACCAGAAACAAGAGCCTTTGCCAACGCAAGGTTATCTGCCATGTCACCATTAAGATTGACCTGCTCAGTCACAGCAAGCTCGGCCTCAGTGATCGTGCCAGTCTTGTCAAAGACAACATCGCTAGTCTTGCGTGCTCCCTCAGTTGTATCAGCAGATTTGATGATGACACCACCTCGAGCTGCGATACCACCAGCGACGACGAGAACCATAGGGACTGCAAGACCAAGAGCGCAGGGGCAAGCGACTGCGAGAGTAGCCACTGCGTAGGTGATGGCATTGCCAACACTCTTTCCAGCATCATAGTTGAGAACCTCAATACTGCAGGCGATCCAGATGACAAGAACCAATATAGCAACAGTAGCCATTGCGGGGACAAACCAGCCAGCGACTTTGTTAGCGAGGTCTTGAATCTCAGGCCTTGACTTTGCGGCTTCTTCCACGAGCTGAGCAATGTCTGTGACCGTGTTCTTCCCAGGAAGACGCGTCAACTGAACAGTGACGGTACCACCTCCATTGACCGTCCCCGCAATCAAGTCACTACCCTTCTGCTTAACAATAGGCAGTGTCTCTCCCGTAAGCATCGACTCATCAACCTCTGTCTTGCCAGATAGCACAACACCATCCGTAGGAACTCTCGAGTGAGGCAGAACCTTGAACACGTCTCCATACTGAAGAAGGCGAGCGTCAATCTCACGATCCCCTTCCTTCTCGACCAGCACAGCAATGTTATTCTGCTTAGAGCGAAGAGATACAGCCGAAACAGCTTGGACACGGGCGAAAGCGGCGATGAGGCGACCAACGAGGATGAGCGTGATAAGCATGGTGCTAGTCTCGAAGAATTGCCCCTCGTCAAGAGGTTTACCCGCCATCTCGAAGCTAAACGCAACGACAGAGTAGACATAAGCAGCGGTGATGCTGATGACGACAAGCATGTCCATCTCGACAGTTCGACTGTACCAAACAGCGGATATAGCAGGGCGGTAGAACTCAGGGATAGCGATGCATTGGACAAGTGTACCGAGAATCAGTGAAACGATCCCCTCTGTCTTCTTGTCGACGAGGTTCTCACTCCATGAGACTACTGCGACGGGGATGGTGAGGGCTGCGGCGACGAGGGTCTTCGTGAGTTGGTCCCAGAGACGACGGCGACTGTTTTCGAGTTGAGGATCTCCACGGGGTTCAGCCAGACCATTGCACTTGTCTTTGACTGACTCCAACAGGTCTCGAGCTCCAATTGTAGTGGGTTCGTACGAGAGGCGGACTGTCTTCTTGTCAAGCGACTGAACATCCGTCACACCTTGGGGTGGATTATCGATAAGATCCTTGCTCTGCGCAGTCGTAGCCAAAACATCGACGTAGTAGTTCCCGCCGATGATCTTGCTAAGCATAAAGCCACTTGCACCAGATACAAAGCTCAGTACCTCCTCAGCATTGGTGATAGATGCATCAACGTCGAACTCTCCTTTGCCCATGACAAAGTTGACTTGAGCATTAGAAACACCAGTCATACTACCAAAAATCCGGAGCAACTTGTCTGCACAAGAGGTACAGTCCATACCACTAACAAGAAAGCCCACAGTCTCAAGATTCGCAGCGTTCTCAACATCAACCTGTTTACTGCCTGTTCCAGAGGGAATGAAAGCGGGGATAAAAGGTGCAGCATTCTTCTTTGCATGTTTTCTTCGATGCTTTTTGGTTGGGGTCGCTCGGGTGCTCATGCAGCATGTTTCGAGGGACGTCATTCCCTGCTCGATGGCGCTTCGGCAGATGCAGCGAATCTGTTCGAGGTAGCTGCTGTACTGGTTGAAAGCAGCTTCGAGATGAGTACCGCAGGCTGTGTCGGTCTTGTGAAGGCCATGGTCATGTTCATGGGGCTGGTCCTGTGAACCTGTACCTGTTAAATTGGGTAGTCACGTTGTGGTATGGAGGCAAGGTACCTTCGTGGTCTGGATCATCGTCGCAGGCCTTTTTGCACTCGATGGCCGCTATGGCATAGATACATTTCTCTACGGTAGCGCGAGTATTAGAGGGAACTTGCAGTCGATTTGGTCAAGATGAAGAGGACTTACCACTGCAGTGTTCCTCGCTGCCGCAGCAAGTTGAAGCTTGTGAGGTCATACTAGAAGCATCGGAGTGATCATCACAGCATCCTCCGTGCTCGTGGGCGTGTTCATCGCCGTCACTGTGAGCATGGTCATGGTCATGGTCATGATCATGAGAGCCATCGTGCTCGATTGTTGGAGAATCGCTTCCATGATTGGTGTGCTGATGGCCATGGTCCTCCAAGCCGGCACTAACACGCTCAGCCTTAGATCCACAGCAAGATGCACCCATGGTTTCGTAAAAGATGGAGATTCTATAGGGGAGTAGTAAATTGCAATACAAGGTGTGATTTTAGAGAAACTCAAACCAGGCAGAATTTATCTTCATTAAATACTCGAAACATCGTGAGTCGCAACTCATCGCAAGCCAGTTTCTTCGTGTTCCGCGGATGGCTCCACCACCGCTAAAAGTCTCCGCGCTCCGTTTCCGCGCCGCGATTCTCCTCGCTAAACCATTTTAGACTGTGAAACAGGAGGCGCGGGGACTTTTTTTTCCAATCAGTCATTTCGTACGACATAATCTCTCGTGATTACATTTACGTCACTGCCAGAAGGGAGAGTCATTGAGAGAGACAAGCATTGGGTATATTGCTAAAAGCTTGTCGGATAATCATAAGTCATAATCGTATAGTAATCATCACGCTGAGATGATCCGTTGCGCCTCTGCTATCGCGGCCTTGACCTGATCGACTGTCCTGAAGCATGCACAGGCAGTTGTCATGTCAACTTCCTTCGGACATACCTCAGTAGGATGTTTCGTCGTCGGCAGTGACTCTGTATTCGAACAGCTCGTCCCTGTTTCGCAGTTCTCGTGACCTTCGGTGTGAAGTTGACTCTGTCTCGTCGCCAGCCCCTCACCCAGTTTCACAAGACAATCCAACTCCCCTTTCAGACTCGCTTGTAGAAATGCGATGTAACTTGGTCCCCCGAGGGAAAGCTCTACTACGTCCCGAGCATCTGGTTGTTGTCCAACTACAAGACGGATTGGTGTACCAACCGACGACTCGGTGCGCTGCTTCTGTACGTAGAAAAAGTCGCCGTATGAGGAGCCGATGCTTGATAGGAGAGAACCCAGGAGATAAACGTTTCGTGATGTACGTGGGCTCTTGATGGACTGGAAGCAGACTGTGCACTCAAGGATCGTCCTTGCTGATGCGAGAGACTGCTTCAAGACTTTAAGGGTCTGGAAGGTCTCGAGAGAGCTCTCAATGTCGGAGAAATGCTGATTGACCAACTCGATGCAGGAGCATTTCTGAGAAGACGTCCCTGGTGTCGCTATGCTCTCAGTGTTTTGAGACGTCGGTGTCATGTCCATCGCCTTCTCCGTGGTTCCTGGATACACCCCATTCTGGTCCTGCTGCATCGCTGCCCGATCGAACAAATCCGACGGCAGCCCTTCCTGTCCCTGCGCATTATCCTGCTCAGTCGAAAAGCCCATATCAAAACTCGGCAATGGCGTCCCCAAATCATCAAGAAACTGATCCATAAAGTTCCCCGTATCCATAACCTCCGGCGACGCAGCCATGCCCACCACGCCACTCCCTCTATACCCCAGCGGCTGCCCCCTTCTCGGCCTCCCTATGGTCCTCATAGGAGAGTACTCGCAGGTCAAAGCAAAGTGAGAACATCGTTCGCATAAAGGAGTGTGGCGAGAACATCGGACTTTTCGCTTGCCTATACGTCATTTCATCAGCTGATGATGGAGGTACAAAGAGGGGAAAGAGAGAAAGAGACTGACGGCAGGGATCGCAGGCGCGGTGCTGGCTCTTGTCACTTATACTTTGAGGGTTCATGCCTGCGGTACTAGACTAGGGAGCAGAGCATATATAGTAGCGTGTCGTGTTTGCGTTTGCTGGTTGGTTTTTTTGGCGACGGGTGCGGCCATCAAGGTTCTCTCCCGAGCTGCTTTTGCCAAGCGGAAAACCTGGGAATTGAATCCACGCCGCGGGGCGGGGCGGACACTTTTGACGGATGTGATTGGTGGCTTGCTCCGATTTATGGAACTGTGGGATAACTTGCTTACCCTGGACATTCCGCTTTCGATGTAATGTATTATGTCAATTATTGATATTATATCATAACTGAAGTTGGCCCTTTCTGCGCCGAGCCGCTTGGCCAATGGCTACACATTAGCAGAGACTTAAGGTTCCTGTTGGTATCTGCAGAACTATTCATACCATGATATATTATGCCGTTTTATTCTTCAAGCTAGTCTGGCATTCCATGTACGCGTCTATACATCGTCTCAATCTTTCTTAATGCTATTTCCAGGCTGGACTTCCGGCAATATCCCAGCCTTGACGAGATCATTAATCAGATCCAGCAACATACCATCGCATCCCTCTGCTGCCATAATTCTGATAGAGACCGGTAGATATTCTATGTGTTTGGTGATGCTGCTATTATACTTGACTTGGCCAATGGGAACTGCAAAGTCCGGATTCCCAGCCATCGGCGAGATGAAGCCGGTGTTCAGCCCGAGCAGAACACCTACCAAACCATCAGAACCTAAAAAGCTACCTGGATCACTTCTGTATGCTGGGGTGGCTTCTTTAAAGGTATAGAGCATTAGGCTTTCTGAGCACGTTTCTGCATTCTTGGGGAGCATGACCATATTCCACCAATTCTTGAAAGTGGTCTGGTTTACAACTGCTTCGTCCAGTGTATTAGAAAGAGTGTCAGACCAGCTCCAACTACCATTGGTGGAGGGATTGACAAAGGGCACGCGTCCGTCGTGTGCGGCTGCATAATCCTTGAAGAATGGAGCGCGAACAAGTCGGGTCTGCTGCTTGGCTGAGATAACCGCCCATGTCAACCCAGCAAACTCCTGCAAGTCGCTGGGTGTGCCTTTCGGATGGCTGCGAGACCATTCCTCGGTGTAATTAAAGGTTGCGAGGTTGGCCGAAAGAAACTTGACTAGCTTATCAACGAATTGAGTGATTACACGGTCCGACTCGGAAAGGCTGGCGTCCTTGGCCGATGGGAGGTCGTATGTAAGGACTCGTTTCGGATAGCGTGTATAGTTTGTCGTAAGATTCGAGTAGATAACCTTGCAAGCTTTCGACCAAATCTTAGTATCGCGAGCCAGAAAACCAGCCGTATCAAACTCTGGTCCCAGTGGAACAACCCGTGATAACGACGCAAGACCATGCGTCGGGCGGTTCCCGAAGACTCCGTTATCCTCGGCTGGTACCCGAATGGACCCTCCCGTATCAGACCCCAAAGCCAGATCTAACCAATTGTAGGAAGCGACCCCAGCCCCGGGTCCGGACGAGGATGATCCAGCTTCTTGATAGCCATCGCCTCTAGGGTTGAACGGAGTTTGGTAGTCAATGGCGTCTCTGGCATTTTCGGGTGCAGCGAATTGAGTTGTTTTCATCTTGCCGACCAGGACAGCTCCGGCATCGAGCAGATGCTGCACTGTAGGTGCAGTGCCGTTGGCTTCGGGGTAGAGGTCATAGTAGGCACGGCTTCCAGCTCCAGTCTTGAGGCCGTGGACGTCGTAGATATCCTTTACACCGAGACGCACACCAGCAAGCGGGTATTTGTCACTTGGAGTGTAGTAGATTCTCGAAGGAACGCCGATTGTAATGGACGAGGAGCCAGGGATTGCAGCTGGGAGTGCCCCGAAAGATCCGCCCGGGACGGGTATGACGCCTTGGGCGAAGGCGCCTTGAGTATCAGAATAAAGTCGATACGGGATATGCAGAGAACCTGTTGATGGGTTCAAGATGTAAGGACCGCTGGGAACATCGAAGGGGTATTCCATTTCCTCCCACAACGATGATGCGTTACATTAGTATAGGAAGGCCAACATAAGACTATAAACCAACTTTTTGTTCACATAGAGCGCTTAAACTGCATAAGTCTAAATGGCAGTCGCCACAGAGTAATGATAACGTACCTTGCAGAAAACCCTCGTTGAAAACGTCATCCTTGGCAAGCCAAGCCTTAACGGTCTTGTTAAGAGTAGACTCATCAAATCGGCTGTCTTTGGCCTCGAAGATGGTGACCGGGACAAGTTCGCCAAGTCTGTGATTATGCAGACAAGAAGGCACCAGGGGGAACCGCACGGGCTCGGGATGCACAAAGTACTGCACCCCATTGACTGTCACAGCCGCGCCGTGATTGATCAGGCTGGCATGCGTAACCCCAGAGAGTGCTGCAAGGATGGAAAGAGATGCGGCAAACATAGTTTGGACTGTTCAAGACGTCTGTCTCAATTACACTTGAGGCCTTTGTCTGAGAGCAGAGGGAATTTGAAACCGTTGAAGAAAGCGATGACTGTAAAGCGCGCAATCCGCATTAATATACTTAGCTGATGAATCGAGTTGCACTTAGACGAGTTAACTACTATCATAGCTAACTTGAAGATGCACTAATAAATGTCAAGCAGAGTTACTTAGTTCAAGGCCCTGATCGGTGAACGACGGATAATGGATATCAGATAACAATATGGGTACTTTTTAGGCCCTGATCGGCGAGAATTGGATTCGGATATCGATAGGCTCTATCTGTACAGCTACAGGGTGCTAATTTAAAAAGTACCTATATTGTTATCCGATATCTATTACCCATCGTTTACCGATCAGGGCCTTAAGCTTAGAGGCGGCAACTACCCGGCGGGTTCGGATTTCATTTTCTACCTGCCGGGTATATTCCAGTCCCGCTAGTTATTATTAAATATATAATAATAAGATGTTACTTAATTAGTTGCCGTAAGGCAATTCTCTTTTATCTAGTATAACAGAGTGATAATCGATATAAGCCCACATCGGACAAGAGTGTCTAGAGACAATCACGTACTAAGAGACATAATAGCAACGCTGTGAAGGACCTGACCCTTACTGATGACTCACAGAACAGCACCTATGTCTGCTGGACCCACGACTATCATCTTGGTGCTGATCTAGCTGCTGCTGCTGATGCCGCAGCTTTGGTCCGCCGAGCCAACATCCGTTGGCCTGGGGTCAACAAGCGGTGTCTGTTGCGTTCAAGTATGCAAAAAGTTACCATCATCAGACTTGCCCCCAATGAGATCCAGGTCATCATTGATAACCTGGCCCAGCATGTCGTCAACGCCTTGGTTGGTTGGCAGCTTGGCGACGTGGATGACCAGGTTCCCGCTGGCGCTACGTATTCTACTACGCAACGTAATCATCAGGGTCCTTCTCAGAGCATCAGTGTCAATGCCTATCTTGCCGATTAAGATGAGGCCACTCCTTGTTTGAAGGCTTGGGGTTCATAATACTTGACCATCCGGGAGTGGGTTCAGCTCTCGAGTTCATGTTCAAGCCGAGAATGTCTAAAAGCTCAAGGACATTTTCTGAGCAGCTACTGAGGTTCACAGGCCACATTTCTCTTCGGGTCTATGTCATTCCAGTTCTTTCCTCTGGCTCCAATGCAAGTACACCATACTGCATCGTGGCCCAGATGCCATCCACTCATTTAATGTGTAACAAGCCAGCCCAGGCCGGACCAGGAGGAGAAACCACCTCCTGATGACAAACTCGGCTTTTGGCAGATGCTGATTCAGTTATCAAATCGGTCAGTTATCTAATCGGTAATTGCGCCTAGATAAGATATCTCGAGGCGCAGATCTGAATCCTTCATAATCACTAACCCCAAACGCGTAACGCGGCGGGGTTAGTAGCTGATGAGCCGCTGAATAAGCCGTCAGCATTACGAAGTGAAGTCGAGTATTTAAACATAGGATATGGACTGAGTGAAGTGTTTTACGAGAACTCGTTTAATTACTACTACTCTCGCTATTATAACTCCTGTTTGTCAATATGTCATCAGAACGTCGTTGGGATCAACGCCGCTTTCGGCTCGAGGAGTCGACAACCCTCAACGATGGCAAGCGCACAATCTTCATTGAAACCATGACTCCCGGAACTACTGTGCCTCCTCACTTCCACACACGTTTCTCAGAAACATTTGATCTCATCGAAGGGTCTATCTCTCTTTATAAAAGCACCGATCCCGACCTGGACACCCTAGAAGCTTCCGCTCAGCCACTAGAAGTGGGCAAACCGCAGACTGTTACGCCAAACCTCTTTCACAAGTACCTCGTCAATTGTGATGGAGGCGCTGTCTTGCGAGTAATCCTCGAACCGGGGGATGCGGACTTCGAGACGCTGTTAAAGATCATGAATGGCCTTGACGCGGATGGAAAGCTGGCGAAGATGGGAGATAGCTTGGTGCTCATGGCTGTTGTGATGGAGCTTAGTGACGCTCACCTTATCGGCCCCGCGAAGGGTATGTTGGATGGCGTGAGGAGGGACCAGAAGGATGAGATTGAGAAGCTCAAGGCTGAGCTATTGGAGGCTTATGACACTGAAGAAGCGTTGCAGGGACTTCTCCAAGGGCAGTAGGAGCCACATGTAGATCTAGCCATTTACCTACGTCACATATCGACGGTTTTAATAGCCTCCGCCATATCCTCCTTGGGGATAGCCACCATTTCCGTATCCTCCTCCCTGTTGATACCCTCCACCGTAACCGCTTTGACCTCCTGCGTAGCCCCCACCGCCTCCAGCTACACGAGTGTTGGCCAAGTTGACCTTGACTTGGTATCCATCGATTTTAAAAGTGGCTTATTGTCAGGGTACGCGTCTATGAGGATAAACATGTGATACTCACTCCTGATCGTTCATGGCGCCGATTGCACTCTCAGCTTCACTGGAATTGCTATAGGTCACAAAGCCAAAGCCCCGAGAGCGACCAGTGTCTCGATCACGCATCACGATCTATGTCAGAGGTCAGGATATCGTAAAGCGCCTGATAAGAGAAATGTTAAAACTTGCCGAATCTAAGACACTGCCATATTGACTGAAACGATTCCGCAAACTCTCGTCAGTGGTGTTCCATGACAGGTTTCTAATCGAGAAAGGGCATTGTCAGATAAAAGTCTCAGTGCATCTTTAAGAGGTCTTACCCGACGTAGACCTTAAGAGACATTATGGATCGTACTGGATGATAGCAACGTGTGATTTATGAAAATTTGATGTAATCTTGCATTAGAAAGGTCTCGATATTTTGGGGACCTGTCTTCTGTCTTATATAGCCGGAGCGTAAACACTATGCTGACTCCTTCCCTGATATCAATGCATTCCAACAAAACGTAGCTCTCACGTCATCAGGCATAGCACGGCACAAAGTCTCTCAGCTTGAGGCAATATGTCTGATCGCGACACGTAGTTGAGCCAATAGCGTAGCGAAGTTGTCGTCCATCTGTGGTTAGCTTGGTGGCCTCGCTGCGCATCCCGCCCGTGTCTCAGCCCAGCTGAGGATCGGCTGCAGATCTTCAACTGTCATAGATGGCTTTGGTGACGCTGAGGATGATCCTCGACAGAGCCTGAGAGTCAAAATTACGCCGTGGCTATTTCATTGTTTGGCTGGGCTTAGCATCGGGCGTCTAGTTCTGGTTTTTTTAACCTTTATCTGAAGCCGCTGGTTCTGCTTTAGTCTGATACCTTAATTACTTTTATCAGGCGACGCGCCCTTCATACGTTGAATACTTTCACGGAAATTGGCAAAACTGTTGCTCTTAAAATAGATAAGGTTGATAACATAAATAATAATCGCAATCCCACATACGGCTACATACAGCTTCGGACCACTTCTCCGACATGATTCATTCCAGCATTGTTTCAATTCCTGCCTTTTACGTTCATCGTCGTATATTGCCATATGACACCCTGACTCGGCGACCGTCAAGTCTAAATTCACTTTTTGTTAGCTCTTGTTGCTTTTGCTATTGAGTTCAACTTACTCCTGGTTATGCATACGGGTCCTTGCCATCTCAGCTTCCTCGGCGGTACTGAAAGTCACAAACCCGAAGTGGCAAGACTTGCCAGTATCTCTATCGCGCATAACAATCTAACCGAAGGCTTAGCACTTGTGTGTTTGAATCATGGGTTTGAGAAACTGACGGTGTTCAGAACCTCACCATACTCCGAAAATACTTGCATAAGGGTTTCTTCATCAGTGTCCCTGGCAATGTTGCTAAACAGAGTATCGGATTAGAGACTGCTATAGCCTATAGGTGTTACTCTGGGTGCGACTCACTTGATAACGAGATCAGCAGCGGCCATGATGAAGATGGTGACTTGATGGCTATAGAATGTAGAAAGGTGTTTTGGTGGTTTGTTGTAGATAAGAGGTATGTTTTGTAAGTTGATGAGTTGCTGGGTCCGTGTCTCTTATAGGCATTGAGGCTTGGGAACGACTATATCGCCCTCTTTACTCTGAGGCCTCACCCATAAGAATGCAACCAAAATTACCGAGGTGCTGTGTTGCATCTTCAGGCCCAGCGGTTAGCTTGACCAATACCTTCTGGCTTCCCAGCGCTATAAAGTGACCATAATGTCAAATATCTGTAATGTTCTCACGATATCGGCTAGCGGCAAAGGTCTGGCAATGGCCCGCGGTAACGTTGACCAATGTTTTTGTGTTTATATATAGCACAATGCAACACAGTACAAAACGCGTAAGGTGATCAGTTTCATATTTGGGCCAGCGGCAAAAATGCCCAATGTTGTCATATTCATCCCCTAAATGGAGATGTAATAGACTTAGTTTCGAAGTCCAGCGGCAAGCTTGTCCAATAGGCTGTTTGGACCTTTTTTAGCGCCTTGGCCAGCAATGTCGGCGGCTTTTTGCTCTAGCCGAGCCGGACTTCCGTTATAGATGTGGAGTCAGACGAGGTTGGTTGCAATCGCCAAATGTGGACTGAGCCCTGTTCAAAATTAGCCTTGGTTTGTCTTGGGCTTAATCAGACCAACCAATTGGTTATTATTCTAACAGTAGTGAGAATTGTTATTCTACTGACCAGCCTCCTGCACCGAAAACGACCGCACCTCAATCTGATCATCCAAGAATATCGGGACTGTCATGGGATGTAAAGTAACTAAATGCGCTGCCTATGCTATAGAGATAGTAGCCCACTCCGCTTGACTGAAATGGGGTAATAAGAAACATTCAACACTGGTGACAGCAATGCTTCCTTTCTGGTCTCCCTTGTCGCTATCCCTGTGAAGCTCTTCAATCTGTATATGGTCCCCCTGACTTCCTCTAATGTAATTCATCTGTCGTTTCCATCTTACTGGAAACTTTACAGTTGATGACACTTGGCACGTCACATAGTTGCGAAGGTGCGTATCAAAAGCGCATTCCGCATCCGCTGCATCCTCGCTGTTTTTCGATGGCACAGCACCAACGACATTCCGATCCAGTGTATTGTTTATCATGGGGCTGAGTTGAGATGGGCAACTGTAGTCCTCTCTCCATGTTCCGACTCTAATGAACACGCGCTTTCCATTTTGAAAGCTTTCTTGAACTACTAGCCCATGGCCCTGCGTATCTCCTACGTGGCTTCTTAAAGAGTCCTTGGCACCACCTTGCTGGAGGAATAACGGGATAAGGAAGTACTTTGCACAAGGTCTTATGGGCTTGCTGAAATGAAACTCGAATGGGGCGTACTCTGTTTCATGATCTTCCCAAGGTGTTAAGCGAAGGCAATCTATACTAACCGATGCAAACTCGATGTCTTTGTGGAGTCGAAAGAATATCGGTGGCTTTCCTGGATCATCAATACCAGCGAATTCGACTGGTATAAGCAGGCCCCTTATGCTGATTGTAGCTTGATGAAAGTAGACATATGGGTCTGCGTCTGCAGGACTAATCATTGTTTGGCTCAGAAACGACAATGCAATGACTTGCTTCGAATCGAGTCCAAGTCCGAATCCACATCTTTGTGGCCCTGGTATTACCGATCCAGGAAAACTCAACCAGGACCAAGAAGGTGATTCCATGCTAGATACTCCCATCGTGCTTGGCTTTTCCCGAACAGGCTCGGGCCGGGCTACATCTGGCTCCCAGAGTAGGTCCAGCATCCATGACTCAACCCATATGCCGGCGAAATAGGTATGTCCAGTTGAATCTGCAACCGCTCTAGCAACTCCGGAAAGAGCAACGAGCCTATCCTCTTCGTAGGTAAGCTGGCGTGCAGTATACTCCTCAAGCAGCAAGTTCCAACTTCGGACACTTTGAGTCCCTGACAGAGAGCAAAGACTCTCGCGCTGGGTGATTGATGGTAATCCGTCAGGGGATGCCTCATTCGCAATTAATGGTACTGTGGTCTGGCCATCGCATTCCCAATACAGCTGTTCGTTTCCTAAGCAGAGAATGCGCCTTGACAGCGATCGTTCCTGTAAAACCCAGGCCCTTTTGTTGATGGGCGCGTTATTCACATCGAAATTGTAGCTCCCTGTGTTTTCAACTCTGACAAATGCATATTTATTGGTACTGGACATAGAGTCGTGGCTTGATGAGTCTCCCTGGGAAACCACAAGCTTTTTTAAATAAGTGAACAAGGTATCTTGGCTGGTTTCTGTCAATGCAGGGCGCTTATACGACTGCGGCCGAGGTCGGGCTATGGTACTGGGTCGGCAGTTGCGAAAGACAGTTGAATCGGAGAATTCCCATAGTATCATCAAGGTCAGGAAAGCATAGCGATATACATCGAGCATGATGGGAGCTTCATGACGGAAATCGGTACCGTTGTCATCTTGAATAATGCAGAGGGAGTCAATCCAGATATACCGGATAGGGAGGGCGCGGCATATATCTAGCATGTCTCTGTAGTCTGGTGGCAAGATGCCATCTGGCTGAGAGTCACAGTACGCGTCGTAGTTCTTTTGCAGGAGAGTCGGGGTGTTCTCAGTCCATCGATGCGAGAGCGCAACGTAAGGAAGTCGTTCTTGCTGAGTCTCAATTATGCGCCACGTTGTCGAATCTCCGGTGCCAAGGTCAAGCAACCTTGTGGGCATTTTTGCATCCGAAGGCGGTGTCGCTCGAGCCAGGCATGAAGGGTGGTTCTCGTCGCAGACTCCAATCCACCGATTCGCTACCTCGGCGGCTGATTGAGCCGTATGTTGGGCTGGAATGGGGTTCTTGCTTTCTGTTTCTGCGTTGTTTTAGTCGGCTCTCCACTGATACCCATGATGAGTTTATTACTCACCTTCAAAGAGTTCTCTTGATGTCTTTGTGATATTCAGCCGAAGCCTCGTCGCCTTCAGTCCAGTACCCTCAAGGCAGACCCAGATGTTAAAGAAGTCGTCTTCGATATCGAAATGGGCATAAGTTATCGTTGCTTGAAAGTCGGCTACTCTTTCATCGCTTGGTGACGCAATTGGCGATGATCGGATCGCCCGCCAGCAGCTCCAACAGAGAGGACAATCAGCTTCCAAGGATGCCACAAACGTGTCCCAAGACGAGTGCAGTGAGAAACGCCCTTTCATAAACCATCGTGCTTGCGATGGCTGTTTGGGGTCTTTTCTCCTTTCCCATGTGCACGGCTTCGGTGATGGTCCACTATGAATTATGGGAGCATCGCCAACCCCATCTGAGGATGGGAAGTCAGGCAAGGCTTCTTGGCAACTTTTGCAAAGACTCATAATAATAACAAGTAATTCAGAGACTTAATCCGAGATCTTACACATTACATAGCAACGAGAGGGATCATGGTGGGTGATTCTGTTATATATTATCTCAACTCTGGTTAAGAACTCATGATGTGACACAATTTCCGCCCTGCTGATTGGAAGGATTTATCGCTGTAACACTGCAGCTAGGCGCGCGCTTATCAAGAATGATACCTTCGATGCCATCGGTTGATTTCGACCTGTCAAAACTGCTCACGGATCTTCCCTTGCCAAAAGATAAGGGAATAAATTGCTAGAGCCACATGTAGAAGCATGCAAGAATTGCAAGATCACTTGTCGTTGGGAACAATCTCCATTCCCATCCATGTCAAGATCCCCTGACGTCTCTTTATCGATAACCCATCGCGGGGCTGCCCTGGCCAATCAAGCCCTTCTAGATTGAATGCATGAAGGCGAGCGTACAGGCCGGGAATAACGTGTCATGATGCGATATGCCCGAATGGACTGAGTGCGTTACAGAGGATTGCTTACCCTGTATTTGCACCAATGATCATGTTGGCTCAATGTGACGCGATGCCACCAGACAAATCAATTCTTACAGAGGATTATCGGGTGCGAGTTATTCCAGCAATGAAAATGATATGCAAATGATCTGAAACTGTCAATAATCCAGATCGACATTGGCAATGCATCTTTGCGAGTAACTCTTCGTAAACCCACAAAAACCACGCGACAACAAGCGTTGTGGTGTGTATCTGATCTGCGCTCCCGATTGGACCCAGTCTTTAAGCAATAAGCATAGATAACTTTTGTTCCCTTAATCAGAGTACCAATACGAATATTCACAATCCATTTTATAACCTCACCCAGGACCATCTTGGCATGTAGCCAAGCAACCTGACATGCCCCGATCTCTCTCCATCACGAACTTTAGATCATGAAATTTCATCCCATCTCCCTCTCATGCAAAGTCATCCACATGCTCGTACCTCGGATGCATCACCCCAAGCCCAGCCCAACCCATCTCCCATGCTCCCAGGCCCGGCACGATTCCGCATCGACTCCTGCCCCGGACATGACGATAGAAACAGCATAGCGCCCCTCCCAAGCATGTCAGCTGAAACCCCGCACCCACAAATCCGGCAAACAACCCGACCTTAACCCATGCTAAGAATACGCGGGTTGCCCTTTCTCCTCATTAGCTTGGCATTCCTCTCTCACCATTAACATCTAGCTTAAGAATGCTCTTTTGCGCTCCAATCACGAAGAAGCGCTTCTATGCGAATGTCACGCGCTGTTAATAGGTTCCTCCCTTAGCGTGTCTTCGGCACTGTTTCGTGTTTTTTTCTTTTCGCGAGGGTCGTTTGCAAGTGCCCCCATTCTCCCCCATGGGGAGCATTTTCACGCTAGATGCATTGAGTTCTGGGGTTGCTGTCGCTGGGACCATCAGCTATTGGAGCGCGAGAAGGGCGATGCAACTCTGTAGCTCCAAGCTTCTGGGTCGTTGATGAAAAGTATTAAAAGCTGTTGAAGTCCCCCTTCTGCCGATCACTTCATACCCATCGCTCTGCATATTGTTCAAGCAGTCATCATGAAGCCCAAGGTTTACCAGTTCCTCGTTGGAGTGTTTGCGTCCTTTGGATCGCTGCTCTTTGGCTATGATTTGGGTGTTATCGCCCAGGTCATTGCCTCGCCTTCTTACCACCGGGAGTTCGACACGAGCGACACAGCTGCCGATACGTAAGTTAACAATCTCCGCATTGGGACCGTTTAGACGCTGACTCTTGCAGTGGTGCTGTAGTTGCGCTCTTCACCGCCGGTGCCTTCTTTGGTGCCATGTTCGCTGGTCCTACAACCGAATACACCGGTCGACGATGGACTATCACCATTGGTTCTATAATCTTCACTCTCGGAGGTGCTCTCCAGACTGGAGCACCCAAGATCTCATACCTCATGGCCGGTCGCTTCCTCGCCGGTCTTGGCGTCGGTTTCTTGACCATGATCATCCCCCTATACCAAGCTGAGATCGCACACCCTTCCATCCGAGGCCGAGTCACAGCTCTCCAGCAATTCATGCTGGGAATCGGAGCTCTTATCGCCTCGTGGACGGGCTGGGGCACATTCACCAACTTCAGCGACAACCGACAGTGGCGAATTCCCCTCGGCATCCAGATCATCCCCGCCGTCATCCTCGGTGCTCTCATCTTTGTCTTCCCCGAGTCTCCCCGCTGGCTCATGGACCAGGGTAAGCAGGACGACGCGCTCAAGACCCTGGCTCGCCTCCACTCCAACGGCAACGAGGACGATCCCTGGGTGCGTGCGGAGATCGAGCAGATTCAGGAAAGCATTGCCGATGAGCATGCAAACGGTGCCAAGTCATATCTCGAGCTCTTCAGGGATGTTTCTTGCTTCCGTCGTCTTTTGATCGCTTGTGGTCTTCAGGCGTCGATCCAGATGACGGGTGTGTCTGCCATTCAGTACTACTCTGTTACGATCTATGGACAAGCTGGAATTGGACCTGGAGATGCGCTTAAGTATCAGGCTATCAACTCCATTATTGCTCTGATCGCCCAGGCTCTCTGCATTGCCTTCATTGATCAATTCGGTCGTCGATGGACGCTCATCTGGGGTAATCTGTTCAACATGCTCACCTTTATCATCGCCACCATCATGCTCGTTGTCTATCCTCCTGGTTCTGGTAGCGCTGCTCAAGGTTGGGGATTCATCATAGTTACTTGGGCGTACAACTTCTCTTTCTCAGCCACTTGCGGACCCCTCTCCTGGATCATCCCCGCCGAGATCTTCGATACCCGAACCCGAGCCAAGGGCGTCTCCCTCGCGACCATGACTTCTTTCGCCTTCAACACCATGATTGGTCAGGTGACTGGTATTGCCATGGGAGCCGTTGGCTGGAAATACTACCTCGTCTTTGTTATCTGCAACTTTACCAACGCCCTCTGCGTCTGGGCTTTCGTTCCTGAGACCAAGCAGCTTCCTCTCGAAGAGATGAACTATCTCTTCACCAACGCTCCTTGGTTCATTCCATTCGTCGACAAGAGCGAGTATACTGCGAACCTGCAGGCTGATCTCGCTCGTAGGGCTGAGGCCATTGACGAGAAGCTTGCTGCCCAGCACGAGACTGGAGAGCACGTTGACAAGATCTAATGTGCAATGCCGGACGGATCGGATAGTTAGGCTCAGCTCTTGGCTTTTCGCTAGGACTGGCAGTAGACGTATCCATACAATATAATCTATTATTAATGTTTTATGCTTGTAACAACGCTATGGTAAACTGTCGCGACTCAAATGCCGTTTCACCTCCTCCGCTCTATCAGCCCCAATAAATCTCCAAGCGCCCCCCGTCTTTGTAAAATCGAGTATGCTTAATTTCTCAGGAACCTTTGACACTAACGACTCAAGCGTCTCGTCGCCCTTGGGGATTTGAGTAAAGAACAGACGATTCCATTGCTTGCCTGTTCTCTCCTCTTCAACTCGTCGCCTTCTTTGCGACTCTTCCAACGTGCTCTTGTGAGCATACACCTTTTCGATGTTGTGTTGCTTGATAGCTTGCGTAACCTTAAACCAAGCCCGACGAGACTCCCAGGGTGTTTGCTCTTCTACGGGCGCGACTCTGAGAGGTGAGATTGGGATCTTGTCGACGTGAAATTCCTCTAGCGTCGTTTTTGAAGAGTCCTCAACTTTGATCTCTCCAGTCCATTGGCCCGTGATGCGATACAGCGGGTGATCCTTGTCATTCGGAGCAAATACTTCAGCGACGACCTGGTTCTTCTGACCGTACCCAAGTCTCCCCTTGCCGTGGAATCCGATTTTCGTCAAGTAACCGCTCGAGCTGGCGATGTATGCTGGGCCTTCCATCTCTGGATATGGATTACCCGTCGTCACGCCCTTGACCAATATTGTTGGCATCGTCATGAGACTTTGCTCATTATGCTTGTGGTCTTGGATAATTGCACAACCTGTCGGACGCACGGTGACGCCACTGACGAGGCTGAAGGATGTTTCCTGGCCCGCGAAGCCAATCGATGACATACCACGCTCCTTGTTATATACAGAACATGCTGTTACAGGCGGGTGGTGTGATACCTGCTCAATGACCAATTCCGATTTCGACCCAGACTTGTCGGAATATGAGCCGAGGAATAATTCACCAAGGAACGGGTTTAATGGTTTCTTGGCGGCATCCGGAGAATCCGCATTCACAAGCTGCTTGAGACTGCAGATGTAATTCTTCGCCAGTAACAGAGCCCTCACTCCAGCGTCAGGTTCATCAGCAGGTTGAAGAAAGAGATCATGGTGACAAGCCCAAGCAGCTGGAATCTCAATGGCTGATTTAGGAGCGAGGATGAAGGGAGGAGCTGTGACGTTTGACAGGTCCCCCTTGACAGCGGCGAAATAAGTGAGGACATCTTTGAGACGGAAGAGATTTCCGGAATCGGTACCGACGTCAGCCATTGATCTTGATGAGAATGGTGGTATATCCGGTGGTGATGGTGTTTCTCGTGGTGGTGGTGCCAAGGAATTATCTGGTTCGTTAGATTGATGCATTCTCTATAACAAAAACAGCTTCAACAATGGGTTATTAAGATGAATTGAAAGACAGCTCATGGAAATAACGGGATCTGAGATTAGGTGCTGGATATCGATGATCAGGGTCTTGACGTCATTGACATTGGCCTACGTATCGAGAAGCGGTTAACGGCACAGCCCACTATCGCACTCGCTAAGAATGAAGCGAAGAGACCAATCGCACGCTAGAGAATTAGGTTGGGCTCCGCTATTTGCGCTGAAGGAGGCATCATTTCATGTGCTTTTATTCTTCTCTACGTAGTGACTCTGTCTCGAGCATGTGCAATTCGTCACACAGCCCCATTTACACGCAAACAGAGATAATTCTGCCTTCATGGCATAAACCTATCTACGTAGTTGGCCTAACTATACTGCCCATCGAAATACCTGCGCTTACTGTCTCGTCAATCTTGACGTAACCCACGCGTCTCAGATCTCCGAAGGAACAGAGTTGACTCCCCGGGATATCCAGCTTGTTGCTAGAACCAGGTCATGTTTACATCTCGCTACACGCCTACAGTGATGGCTGAGGCTATCCAGATTCATATATGTTTGACAGGCTCAATAACGCGTTTGCAGGATAAGATTTGTCGCTGATCAATCTGTAGGCGAGAAAGGCAGTTCGTTCTGTAGCTTCCGCTGCGGATGCCAGTGTGTAGGCGGATCAGATAGTGTCGTGATAGGGTGCTCTACATCGCGCTCATACTGCTTTGGGCCTTTCTGCCTATCTCAGCTTGGCCGCGATAGACATGAAGAGTTGGCGAAAGCGGCATGATAATCGGGATATGTAGCCCTGGTGCTACCGGTAGTAGATACCAGTGCTTTTGCTGCTCTCAGATGCACAGTAAGCCTGTTGAAGCGAACAGAGGGATGAAGATATCTTCCACAAGTAGGACCATGGATGTGCATAGCTACAGCAAATGGCTGAGACAAGTCCAACGATGTCTTGGTGGTTCCCAAGCTAATGCCTGTTAATTGCGTAGATCACAAGGTGAGTTATGCTAAGAGGCCGGTACGCAAATGAGTAACAAAAGATCTTCATTATAGCTAGGTAACTCTAAACACAGGGGATAGTAAGTAAGTTGTGGAGTTTCCAATGTCTGCTATAAGTAATAAGCTCCTTGAAGGATACTCTTGATGAATGTACTCAAAACGCGACAGAGACAGAACTAAGAGACAACCACGCCTCAGCCGTCTCAAACTCCACCTCAATCGAGACCGTAAGCCCTTCATCTGTAGAACTAATCTCCCTAGAACACACAGGAATACTAAAAGCCTGTCTCTTTCCAAGCTCCCGCTCCTCCAATACCTTTTCTCTGCCATGGTGCACCGCCACAGTCTTGATAGTTGCAGCTTCCGATGCGAAATCGACCATGAGCTGGTCTAGGGACTTGCCAGGAATGTCGCCATATATGGGCAAGTACATCCAAGCGGATAGATCAGTAGCAGATGGGGGTCCTATGGCCATGCTGCCTTGAGTTTGGGATTTATTGTAAGAGGTGGTGACGGCACTGTCGCCGCGGGCTGAAAGCACAGTAGACATGGTGACTTGCTGCTTTTGTGTTGGCGGTTTGGTCTTATTAACCGTTGTCGGGGCTTTTGGTATGATACTTCAACGTACTGGGGTTTCTTAAATAATAAAGAAGAAATGTAAAGTGAAGATTCTATGTATTACCTTGGTTGAATGCTCTGAGTCATCTCTGCAAACCCCGCAGCCCTTGTATGTGACTACTGCTTAAAGGCGGCGCTAGGAGCACTTCTTTCAGCATCGGCTAACTAATCTGTCCTTATCATGACTCTCCGCTTCTGAAAAAAGTAAGCAATGCGGCTGATTTTAGCACGACAGTCCAGAACTGAACCTCTCAACTCTAGATACAATTGCCAACGGTCAATTCTTACAGGAAGACTTTGGGACTGCTGCGCTTCCCAGAGATACGTTAAAGTCATTTGCCGATTCGCGGTTGTCGTGTTTAATTAATAACATAACCAAATATCCAGGTCTTAAAAAATCACCTTCAACCTCGGTTGTTTTCTAAGGCAGAGTTGCTTCTTTTTCTTGGCGTTTGGGCTCTAGTAAAAGTTTCAGGACTTAGTGGCGTTTCAATTTAAACCAAACAGAGAGCATAAGCATAACCGCAACTTTACTCGATCTAGAAACATTCGCGAATAGTGCTCAGACCTGGTTCAGCCAGTCGCATCTCAAGCAGTCAATGATGACCCTCTCATTACCAATCGTGAGACTGGCTGAGTCGAGGATCTCGGTACTGACGATGCTTTGCGGTTTGTATTTCTGCCTCTTTTCTTCTTTGTGCAGGACTTGAGATTGTCTCCTTGTGTAGATGAAACGAGGATGGTGGGGAGAGGCAACAGTCGTGAAATGTAAGAAGTGCGAAGTGACGAGTATATAAGACACGGTATGGTGCTCTTGTTACCACTGAAAAGCCCCAGTATCAAGAGGCTCAACGCCAGGTTTATTTTCTTTCTGCATAGAACTTTATTCTCCTTCATTATGAAGTTCTCTTCCTTGATTGCCGCCGCCAGCGCGGCTGTGCACACGCTCGCCCATCCCCAGTTTTTGTCCACCCGCCAGTTTGTTCCTCAGGAGTGGATTGCTCCAACTGCAGACGCCTGTGAGTAACCGCAATGGAGAGTATCTGTATCATCTATGCCTTATACTGACTGTTTGATGGAGCCCGTGGTCCCTGTCCCGGACTCAACACTTTGGCCAACCATGGGTACATCCCTCGCGACGGCAAGAACATCACACTCGACATTCTCAAGGACGGTATGCTTACCGGCTACAACATTGAGAACTTGGATGCTGTTATCCTTTTCACGCAAGCTATCAAGACCAGTCCCAAGTACCCCAACACTCGCAGCTTCGATCTGGCTGATCTCGGTCGCCACAACATCCTCGAGCATGACATTTCTCTCAGGTATATCATTTAACTATCATATTCCAACAGGGACTGACCTTGGTAGTCGCTCCGACGCATTCTTTGCCGATCCGAACCCCTTCAACGAGACCGTCTGGGCCGAGTCCCTTACCTACTTCCCAGACGATCTGATGACAGTGGAGCAAGTCGCCAAAGCTAGAATGGGCCGCCTGGCTACATCCAAGAAGACCAACCCCGAGCACTCGCTGTCTAAGCTAGCTGATGGCTTCAGCTGGGGCGAGATGGCGTCCTTCTTTGAGATCATGGCTGATGGCACCACCGGCACGGTGGAGAAGAAGTTTATCGAGTACTGGCTAAGTATGTTTCTTCCCTTTTCTGGTATGATGAAGCTGACGTGGTGTTATTTTGCAGAGAACGAGCGCATGCCGACCGAGATTGGGTGGCAGCGACGACCTACAATCATGCGAGGAACTGAGCGCATTGAGTTCACGAGGAAGCTCATGCAGGCCGCTGGTGTTGCCCGTCGCGATATCAAGACTGATGCCTATGGCCGTAAACTGGTTTTGTAGATCAGCTGTTAGTGGTACGTGAGCGTAGGACGTTCGAATTGATTCAAGGGCGCTGGCTCACCCTTGACTTAATCGGTAGAATATTAGCGAAAGTTTCTGCGGGCGTTATGACGGTGGTTAAGTAGAAATGGCGTTCTATATATACTACCGTGTAGTAAAAGCAGATACTGAAAAATCGTCGACCGAAACAAAACCGATGCTGTGTCCAAGTAGATAAAAACAAATTCAGAAACACCGATTGAGCAAAGAGAACAAGTAAAGATACCCAAAATCAACTGGATATTCAGACTTACAATACCGAAAAGCATCGCAATGGCATCGTCGTTACGGAGTCAGAAGCTAAGCGAAGGCGGGCCTCGGGGGGCAAGAAAACAGCGAACCTTATATTAGGGTATTAAAATAAATACAGTAAAAGTTACCCTAAGCCTAGTAAGAATATACTGAATCTAAATAAGTTTACCTAAGTCTTTTTATTATTTAGGATCAAGGTCCTGTCTTTTCTTTCCTCCCCTACGCGGGCCAAAAGAAATGCCGAATCCCTCCCTATCACCCTGTACTTGGTTAGCCTGTGGTTCAAAAGTCAGGTGGAGGCTGCTTCATTATGACTGGGCCATCATCGTTATCGTCCCAGTCTTTCCGCCACTCATCGGATGGCACCTAGGCCATCTGGCGAGCGCGGATCATTGGAGTGATATCGATGGAAGCCAGGCCAGCTGCCCTGTGATCAACATTTCTCACCTTGAGTATGTTGTTGTTACCGTTGATAGCATACAGAAGCGAAGTCTTCTTTCGATGGGCCAGTGCCCATCATCCAGACTGGCTTACCTTTGCCTTCAAAGCGAGCCTGAGCGCATTGTTAATTCCGCCCTTGAACCCCTGTCCATGGCTGCTAGCGCTACTGATAGAACTGGGTTAGCTCGGCTTACCATTTGGTGCAGTAGCGAATTAAAGGACAACACTGTGTCTAGGAATAACAGCGCGTAAAATCGATAGTCTCAATGCAGGCGAGCTTTTCTGGAATAGCAGCAGTGGAAGTTACACTGTAGACTCTACACTATGTATTTACACGGACATCATGACTTCCACCAAGACTTCGGTGTTTACGGTACAATAGGTAGCTAAAGAAGCACGCTAACACGGTGTTTCGATCCATCCTGCTTCGTAATTGACTATCTTCCCTCTTTGCTCGAACCGCCGTGGAACCAATGTCTGCCCCTACGCTTCACGTTATCTATGCCGGTCGTGGCGATGCTATGATCCTAGAACATTCTGTCGGCAACCAGCGCAACTTTTTCCTCGTCGACGGTGGTCCAAGAAACTATGAATTTGGTGTCAATACCGAAGCTCCATATCATCGATACCTTGCGTCCGCTTGCCGGGAAATCATGGGCGATGGCAAAACCTTCGCTGGGGTTGTTTTCTCGCATCCCGATGAAGACCATTTTGGCGGGTATCTTCAGGCGTTGGATGAGGGGCAAATTCCATTCACGGATAATGTCTTCATACCAACTCCCAGTTCTGGGGCAGAGACGGCCAACGCGCGAATACACGACCTCTGCATCAATAAGAACATGGATTCGGCAACTATTCGTCCTCAAGATCCGCTGGGATCATACTTAATTCGTCCAATCAAGGCTCTCTTCCCAGACATGCCAAGAATTCTCTGGTACTATAGAACAGCAAATCGGCTCATCACAAACCAGAAGGAGTACAACGAGAATCTGACGACAAACAAACGCAGCATTCTGATGTATACCGCCGTAACTAACTCCAACAATGAAATGGGAATATTCTTTACGGGAGATAGCCACGCCGACATCATCTCTCATCACATGTACCAACTGTTTCCGCACGAGGCGAATCGCCGATTTGCAATCTACAAGATCCAACACCACGGGAGCCGTGACGACAACATGAAAGATCTATACAAGCCGTATTTTTCAAAGGGTGCCAAGGCCGTGGGCTTTATCTACTTTCTTTTGAAGGTACAAAAAGGGACTGCTCATATGCCTTTCATACAAAAGAGCAAGACAATGGCCAAGGCCGCGGCCAAACATCTGTCCACCCGTTTAAAGAAATTTACCAACAAGGAATTTTCAGATCTTGAGAAAAAGGTGAAGCGGATTCAGGAAACGCAACTGAAGTATTTGTACAGGCCAGCCGAAAATAAATCAGTCATTGTTGATGCGGATGACGACCAACCTCCGTTTCTTCCTTATATAGAGAAGTATTACGACGCACTCGACAATGCAATGAAGTCAACTGCGGGGTGGGACTATTTCTTGACCAAGCGGGCTACTACGGAGTTCCTTACATACATTCATGTCCGCAGGGCTTGCGACTTCTATTCATTCTTCTCATCAGACGTGTATGTGGTGAGCGCCAATCGAAAGTATTTTCACCCACGGTCTGAGACACTTGTTGGACTAGCTCTGGCAGTTCTTGAGAATAACCGTACTGCCCGGCTGTATGTCACCAATGGGAAAAGCCTCGACATGGATGAGCTTGCCAGGGTTGCCAGCGTCATGGGTCCAGCATCAGTTTACGATCTTTTTTGCTCAGGAAATCTCAGGGTCTCATATCTGAGTCACAGTACCTACATGTCTCTCAGTGGCGCGTCGCAAGGCAAGGATAGCGCCATGATCGTGACTGAGCGTGACACGAACGATGCCACACAGGAGATTCAGTTCAACGACAACGATGCCCAGCAAAGAACGGATCTGCATGTCCTACTGGAACAGACCGACCCTCATCGCATACTCGACACTCACGAGTACCAGCTCAAGGTTTTTGCCAACTTCTCTTGGTTTTACCTTTACCTACAACATGATGCGAATGGCTTCAACTGGGCCATCTCGGATCCCAATAGCCCAAAATCCGTCTGGATAGACGAAAGAGATATGAAAGTCGACAATCAGTTCACAATCAATTGTCGAGCAGAAAAGTTTGGTCTCGCCTCCCGATGGGTTACAGTCGAATTCGTTGGTCATGATGCTGCGAAAGTGAACTTGTTTGGCATCACGGATATCCTTTCCGGCATGTCCTTCTTCAAGGGGGACAGCGGATTGATTCGATTCGACAGAAGGCCTTCCTATGCTTTCCTAGTAGGAGTGTCTTTCGTTCTGAAAACAAATTTCATGCAATCAGGGACTTGGTCTGGGGAACCGAACCGAAGCTCGACAAGCTCCTTGCACCAGACCCAAATACCTTACTCTCAACCCCAATCCACTGAGCCAACGATGGTTTCCAGCTCTGATATGCCTCTTCGACAGGCATTTGAAGTTCTTGGTGACCCAATGAAGGACGGCAACAACCCGGATATTATCGATACGCTGAGCAGACTGTTGCGAGACAAAGCTACCCTGATAGCCATAGTCAAGAGAATTCCTGCAGTGCTTATCAAGGCTGGATTCACTAGCTTCAAAGCCGATCTCGATAAGTCCAGAGCCATCGTCGACGCTCACCCACTTGATGGAAAAGCTGTCGTCAGTGCCGTTCTGTATCAACCAATGGCCGGGAATGGTGAACGAAATTTCGTCGATATCAGCATGGCTGGACTCGACTTCGAACTGAGAAACATCACTATCAAGATTGACAAATGCGGCTCTTCACAAGTTCATCTCACTGTGGAATCCGAGGCGGTCATGAAGAGAACAGGCCTGGAGATCAGGATGGCTTGGAAGTCGCTAGAGAACGACACAATCGTCTCTTTCAGTACGGGTCTTACATCTATCAAAGATCTCGCCATGGCTTTGGTCAATGATGAGGGAAAAGTAGAGAAGATCTTACAGGGGAATATTCCGTTAAAGACCGAGCCCCTCCCTGGCGATTCTGTTCCGTCCATGGGGACTTTTCAGGGGCCTATAGAAGAAATCGGCTTCTCTGTCCGGCAGCCCATTGACCAAACTGATATGTACGACCTAGCAGACATCTGGGTTCGCACCGGGTTCCCAGACTGGAAGACCTTCTTACCAATACCTGAAACGTCGAAGGAGATCAAGGGGGACGTCATTGTTCGGGTGCTGAATCCCCTTCGCGTCGAAGCATCAAGAATTACAACGAGTGTGCACTTGGATATCCCTGTTCGAAGCGAGCCAGAAACGACAATCTCAGCTCAGTTTGACGCCATTCCCCTCACAGGACTGGGCGATTACGACTATCGGTTTCGGATTACATCTACTAGTCATGGGGTAACCATAACTGATATTGTCAAAGTTATTGGCCTTACCAGCTTATCCGACAAGATCAGCAACATACCCTTCTTGGGTAATGCATTCAACTCTGTGCAAGTCAGGCAGGCCGGTCTTTCTGTGGACAGGGTCAAGGGCAAGTGGGAATTCCAAGAATGGGACTTTGAGCTTTACGTACCAATCCTTGAGCTTTTACCTGGCTCATTGTCATTGGTAGATGTGGCTGTCAAAGTTGAAAACTTTGGAAAGCAAGAGATCCAAGCGAAGGGAGAAGCCACCTTTCGAAGTACAGCACTGCAGAAGGAGATTAAGGTCTCGGTTGGTCTTCCAACGGCACAAGACCTCGGCTTCATTGTTATATCATCTCCCGACTCCCTTACTTTGGCCCATATATTCTCTATTTTTGGACTCGGCGACTTGCCAAAAATTCCATTCCTGTCAGGTAATACTGCCGTTGAGCTGTCATACTGCGATGCAAAGTTCAAAAAGCCTAAGGATGGTCCCATCACAATGATGGCCTCCACTGCCAAGTTTCGAGTCAAGGAGTTGGTGGTTGAACCTTTTAAAATGCAAGATATCGCGGTCTCGGTATCCTGGCAACGGGGCAAAGAGAGCAATACCGAATCAGCCGTTTCCTTTGAGCTTTCTGCTTTGCTGCTGAACATCAACTCCGTGATAACCGTCAAGTATGACGGTGGAAAGAAGGAAATGACAGCTTCCATCACCCCTATCACAGGATCACCTATGAAGGTGGCGGATGTCTTGCATTTTCTGATTCGTGGCGTCGACAGTCCGCTTCACTCAGCATTAGCCAGCCTAGAAATCAAGAGTGTAGAAATGTCTCTGGATGTCAGCACAGGCTCCCCGTCATCATTCAAGCTAGAGATGAAGAATGGTGCGACTCTGAAACTTCCCTCAGCGACGGACACAGATCCTTTTACTGTGGGCTCTATCACAGTTGAGTATAGCAAAGTCGCAAGCAAGCTTGATGTGTTTGCAGGATTCATAATTGAAGGTGTTCAAACGAACATCAGCCTTGCAACATCGACAAACCCAACGACCAAAGATCGCTCTGTCGAATTCGCAATCACGTTGCAGAAAGGCCAGAGAGAACTCGGGCTCATGGCTCTCCTCGCCGCAGTAGGAATCAACGACGTTAAGATACCGCGACCAGAAGGATGCCCGGAGTTTACCATTGCCGTGGCCGGCATCAAAGGAAAGTTTGTTGATAAGGATAAATTAGGCCTCAAGTTTGCTGAGCTGGGCGTGCATGTCGAGATGGCCAGTGTTACTCTGTCTGATTGGGATATGTCTATGGACTACATCTACGTTGACGTTGACTATAACAAGGCTCGAACTGAGAAGCCTTTCTCAGCCTTGGTTTCGAGCAAATTCACAATTGCGAAGTCTGCTGAGATGACAATAGAATATGTCGACGCAAAGGACGCTTTGGAGCTGGACGCCAAACTGCAACACATCAAGGAGGACGAAGTGAAAGTCAAGCCCATCTTGGAGTGGCTTGTTGGCGAATCGATCGAAGACGCTTTACCCACGTTCATTTCGGAGGCAGTGATTAAGCTCAAGAACTCACAGTTTGGAATGTCTTTAAGTCGCCACAAAGGAGAGGGAAATTCTGTCATCACTGTCTCGTTGAGCTTCACTTTGGGGTCTGTTACTGTGCAACTTGCAAGAACTAGGACTCGACCAGATGATGCAAAGAAAGAGGACACACTGCCATGGAAGACACTACTCAAACTTGCAGTCAATACCCTTCCGCGACCACCGCCATTACCACTTATCGGTCAGATGGAACAGCCATTTTCTACTCAGATATATTGGACCAACAGTGACATCTTGCCCGAGGAGGTAGACAAGCTGAACAGTGTTGCCACTTTCAAAAATCAGCAACTCCTCAGGTTGAATCGTTCCGCCCCAGGCCCAGCTTTCAGCCAAGGAATATCATTCATGCTGCTCGAAAATGGCGAGGTCATTCTTGCTACAAAACCCAGGAAGAGCAAGAAGAAAGACGACCCTTCAGGCAAGATGATTGTGATCTCGGAGGAGGAAGAGAACCCGGAAGCCCCGGAGATGAAGAAAGTCAACAAGAGAGTCAACGGTGTCAACATCACAAACATTGGCCTCGAATATGATGCCAAGCGACAAAGGATCAAAGTCAAGTTCACGGCACGTATGACTGTTGGGCCTTTCGATGGGGAGTTGATCAACTTCAGCATGTCCGTCAATCTACCGCGTGGAGAAATGATAGACCTAAGTAATTGGGGAAATCTCGACATTGATATGGGTCTCGATGGACTGTCTCTTGCGATGACCGGGTCCAGCCTCAATGTCGCTGGGACTTTGCACCGCATCAAGGTCGAAGAAGAGGACATCTCCGTTACAGGATTCGAGGGCGGAGTCAGTGTCAAGCTCAAGAAGTACCAATTTGTCGGGTTTGGCTCTTACAAGAACGTCAAGAGCCAACAGGAAGAGTTTGTCTCCCTCATGGCCTACGCGATGCTCAATGGGCCCATGGTCAAGACAGGCCTTGTCGAACTCTCTGGCATCAGCGGGGGCTTTGGATTCGGTTCGAAGCTCGAGATACCATCTATCACTGACATACACAAATTTCCGTTGCTTGTGTCCCCCGACGTCGATCCGATGATCATGTTTGAGAGGCTTCGGGGGACAGGAGACATAAAGTACATGACCGAGACAAATGGTGCAAACTGGGTTGCGGCTGGTGTCTCAGGCACGGCTTGTGAGCTCATAGACGTCAGAGCTGTCTTGACTATCCCGCTTGATCCTAGCGCCGGTGAGATGGCTATCGTGGGTATTGCATCTGCTCAGTTCCCACGCGATGCAAAGCCCGGTAAGGCACTTGCAGCCATCAGGATCAATTTCCAAGGCAGTATCGACATATCGCGCGGCTTCATGCTTTTCGAGGGTAGGATTGCTGATGGCTCGTTCATCTTGTTCGATGACTGTGTCCTTTCAGGAGGGTTTGCTGTTGGGGCGTGGTTCGGTCCGAGTCCCCAGGCTGGAGATTGGTGCATCACTATCGGAGGCTGGCACCCCAAATTTCAAGCCCCAAGTCACTATCCATCTGCTCCTCCTCGAATGAGACTCCAATGGAGTTACGGAGACACCAAGTATCTTACCCTCGACGGCCAGGCTTATGCAGCTGTGACTCCCGACGCTATCATGGCCGGATTAGCAGTGCAAGTCCAGTTCGAGAAGTGGTCGTGTGGCGCTAACTTCGACTTCCGTACCGACCTCATACTCTGGCTGCATCCCCTTCACTACGATGTTTACTTCCATGTATCTGCGAGTCTGTGGTACGAAGTTGATGCCTGGATCGCACGCAAGAAGCTTCACATCTCTATGGGTGCCGACTTGTACATCAGTGGACCGCCATTTGCTGGTACAGTCGAATTCGACGTAACTGTTATGGTCATCAAGGTCAAGTTTGGTGATCATAGAGTACAGGATAAGGCGCTGGAGTTTAATGAGTTCATGTCCATCGTACTCAAGAACGATAAGTTTAGTCATGTGTTTTCACTTGAATCTGGGGGTATAGTCCCCAGACAAGCTCCGACAGAGGCACAGACCCCAGACTCTACTTGGCTAGTTCGTGGAGGATCGTTTGCGTTTAGTATTGCCTCTCGGATGCCTACGACCAGGATAGAATTTACTGGGGCAAAGGATTATGAGAAAAAGACTGGCGAGAAGATTCTTGCACGACCTATGCAACTTCCTGCAACTTCAGCTGGTTTCAAAGCCAATATCGATGTCTCTGTGACTAATAACAGCGGATCCTTGGTGCACGGCTTCACCTTCGAGGTCATTTACGAGCAGCTACCAAAATCTCTCTGGGGCCCATTCAACAGCAATCCCAATAACATGCTGTATGGAGCTTCCGAGAGCACAGTGACGCATGCAACGGGACTGAGTATCCAAGCTCCCATGGCTCGATGGTCGAGCGACAACCCTCGAGTCATACAGTTCAGCAAAGTCGGGCGGTCGGAGCCTGTCCATGCTTCCTTCAACAACGACCCAACTCGAGATAATGGCCTCGACGCAAAACCGAGAGCGAATGAAGAGAATCCGGAAGCAGAGTTCGAAAACGCTAGAGAGGCACTTATGGGGAGCAATAAACGAGTGGAAGAGCTAGAGGCTCTCAAGAAGCGAAATGCTCGGAGGTCATATATTGTTGATCAATGGATGGGTATTCGGAAGTTCAAGTCACCGGCCAGTCTCAGGAGTGACGTACCTTTGAGATATGCCAAAGACCTAGCTCACTTCTCACACGTTGCTCCAAGGGTTTCACTAGAATAGGCCGTACAATTGATATGCCATACCAGCATCTTACAGAACAGTCAAATGATACTGTGAATGTATGTCAAAAGTTCAAGGTACCCCAGTAACCGACTCCAATGAATCCGTCCTCAAGCTTCATAGCCACGATGGGCTTTCCTCCATATATACCAGATCCAAATGGGCTTCCCTTCCGAACGACACGGTTGTCATTTAACAGTATAGTGTCTGCTCCACCTCCACTTCTCTTCATCCAGACTTTGCCCCCTTGGTTCTGCCACAGAAATAGGTCAGTCCATTTTCCGTTCTGTTTCCACGAGACAGCCTTGATATCGGAAAATTCCTGAGCCATTTGTTCTTCTTTAGAGCCTACGTCTTCATAGTAACGCTCATATGGAGTATCGTCGTCGAAATCAAAATAGGCAAGGTCTCTGCTCACATTCCCCTGGAGATTAGTATAGCTGAAAAATAACAGGACCCCCTCGCTGGCCACGCCATAGGTAGTTGCAATATGTGAATACTTGCGAGCAATTTTTGCTTCTCCATTAATTTCCCAAATGTTGACCCATGAAGTATCTTTTGCCAGTCTCTTTCCGGTTACTAATCCGTCAGGGGTTATCCAAGCGACTGACTCTATCAGGCGGACGGAACTATCGCCTCCAAGATAATCGTCAACCGCCACTGCTGATATACTGGTGTATTGATAAGCAGTTCCCGGCCCAGAAACAATTGTGACTGTATCTGTACCTGACCAGCTCCTCGTTGTAGCAATGTTCTTGATCGAGCCATCGGGTCCAACACAATAAACATTGATCTTGTCTTTAGAGGAGTTGTCTCTCTGACCAATGGTTGCGGCCAATCCGGCTCGAGGCTGAGCCACGCCGTCTTGCTCTTGAAGAACACGTCGTGTATACCATTTGGGCTCAACCTGTTGCCAGGAGCCATTGCATATTGCTCCATTCTTGGTCATCCAAAATATATCGAGCTTCTCATTGTGTGCTGATACAGCGACTATAGCACCCGGCAACGGAACTTTGGCTTCTGCCTCTCGTTCTCTATCTTCCCCTGGTGGAAAGTCTAGAGGTACTGTTTCTAGTTTCCACTCTTTATCCGAAGGGCCACGATATGCTCGCTCAACAGTACAATGCGCCGAGATCCAGAAAACGTCTAGATGTCCCTCTTGCCGAGAGATGACTGCAATTGAAGCATTGGGAAGTTGGCTCACGTCATGGGACCCTGGAATACGATTCAAGGTCCAAGAGCCGAGGCTTTCCCAATTATACCACTTGTCGTCGGAAGAGTTGTCTATCTCCTTTCTGTCTCGTCTTCCTGAGTTCCTGAGCATCCAAAAGCTTTCCGTAGCCCGAGCATCGATTATCCATTCATATGGCATCCAAAAAAATGAGATTGACTCCATCATGCTTCGGACCAGGACGCGTCTCTTGACGTGGTCAAAGGCGACTATCAGTGCAGCCTGTGTCGTGTGTTCCTTACGCGGACCAGCGAGTCGTCTCGCTACTGGAATCATCTCTATCGTTGGGTATCCCTGATCTCCAGACTGTGCGGCCTTAACGAACTTGAACGAGTCCCAGAAAAGATGAAAGGCAAAGATGACTGGATATCCTTCTGCAATACACAATTTGACTTTGGATAAAGTTAAAGTTCCCAAGGCTGTTAACTCAAGATCGTCCATGGTGTTCACCTCTTCTGGCCGGTAGTGGTCGAGACGATATGACTCAAGAATAGGCCCTTTTGAAGCTTCATTATAGGCCAGATCTGTAGGCCGTTCGTTGATGGCCCATACAACGTCATGGCCATAATCAAAGTCCTCCTCAACAACCCACGGAGCGCTGGACTCTAGTGAGGCACCATAATGAGTCACAGCTCTCAAAGCCTCGCGTATCCCCACGGGTCTGTTGTAAACTCGACCAGGCCATTGCGTATGATCATTCGCATCGTCCATCTTCGCCAAGGCTCTGGCATTGTAATAGATGAACCGTCTAGACGGCGTAGTGACGAGGTGGCCATTGTCACCGGAGTAGGCCAGAAATCGAAATGCGGCGCAGACGGCATCGAGAACAGGAATCTCAGTGGGCGTCGTGTATCTTTCCAGAGGCACTGGATCACTAGCTAGGAGGCTGATAGACGTGAGGTCATTTCTGTCCTTCGGTGGGCCACTGTAGACGTATGGCTTGTCGTTGGCATCGAAGCCGTCAGGCTCATACCAGTTTCTGACCATGGCTATCAAGTTGCACTGACTTGAGCTTTACGATATGGCCCAGATGGATAAGTCGGCAGTATTCCATTCTCAATAAGAATGCAGAGGATATCAGTGGTTCAATGGCCTTCGGATACGATGAGCAGGGTCTTCTGCAGTAAATCGATAGTGCGAGAGTCTGGACCATGAGTACCCCTCACAGTGCGCCCACGGGTACTATCACACATGGTAGAACATCCTGTTCAGTCTGCGTGCATTTGCTACGGAAGATACGGAAGTCCGAGCGCACGACCAAGCGTAAAGATAACGAACGAGCACATATTGATCTAGTCTCTTGGCGACTACTCGGCTATCTTGAGGCCTCCAATCGAACACGTCTGCTTTACCAGTCTTGTCTGCGACGCAGGGCCACTCAAATTATGCCCTTCCACGCTGTACTCCTCCTCGACCCTAACCAAGACATCATCACTAATCTGATCCGAGAGCACGACATTGCTCAGAAGAATACCAAAGTTCACCTGCCTTGCAAGACCTGGTACCCGTAGCCGTAGCTTGACAGTGAAACAGGGTTTGCCTCCCGTAACGTAAGCGCTGCCTGACACCCAGCGAGCAGAATCCTGGCCGAACAGTGTTACCCTTGGTGGAGTGACTGCTTTTGTATCAACCAGCTCAACGAGTGGGAAGGACACGTTGATTCCTTGGAAGTTGTCGCCGTTTAGTGGCTCAGCTTCTGTGGGGTTCAGAACAACGATTAGATCAACAACTCGCGTTCCATTGTCCAAAGTATGCTGTTTCAAAACTCTGCAAGATGTCGTGATAATGCTTGTATGAGTTTCGTGAGATACCTCCTCTATGGGCGTCGTACTATGGGAAGAGGAATGAGTTACTATCGCTGAGCTCTCAACGACTGTCGGCCTCGCTGCCAAGGTGTCCTTCTTCTCATCGTAAGCCCTGAATCCAAGCTTGATAGAGCCAGCGCTGGGCTTCAGGTTTGTTACATCCATGGCCGCAACGCTTGTCGACTCCTCTGCGCGAGTCTTTAGGCTCAGCTGGAACGGCTCTAGTGGCTTTTCTCTTGCTGCATCAGCTTGATCTTCTGTCATCGTGATAGACAACTCTTGTATCTTATCACCCAGTGCCAAGGATAGAAGAGCAGAGGACCCGGTTGCAGGATAGTCGCCTCCTTTGCTCTTAACAGCCGGAACGTATATCTTCATAATCTCCGACGGATTCAAACATCTCGTCTTAAAGTTGAACGCCTTTGACGAACCTGATTGCTCTACAATAGGTGAAACCTGCACGTCTTCAGTACCGGTATCGGGTTTCTCCGGCCTGACGCCAACTGGCTCAATCTCAATCCTGTTCGGCTCCAAGACTTTGCCTACAGCGAAGCACTGTTGGTGAGGCGCTTGACTTACCGTCAGTCCCGAAGGCAGGTCGCTTGGCCTGCAGTTGAAGATGAGCAGCAAAGCTCTATCGGTGAGCTTTTTATTCACCAGGAATTGAGGAGATGGTGCCTCAGAGCTCCCGGTCCTGACGCGAGGGTCGTCAAAGGTCTTGAGAAGCGTGCCACAAATGATAACTCCCCATCGAGGAATCCTTGGGTGCTTGTACCGAAGCTCCACCTTGCGAAGGTAAAGGTTTATGGCCCATTTGATCTCGCTTCTAGTGTAGTCTTCATTCACAGTGCTGTGGCTCCCGATGCTCAAAGCGCCGTCGACGAGAGTATCAACCCAGAGCGGATCAACATGGAATGTGAGAATGGCTTCGGTGTCGAGGATGTCAGGCTCGGGAAACATAAAGCTCTGTGGGACAGCCTTAAGTGTGAGAAGCTGATTATAGACAAAGTCGAGGACTTTGGCAAGAAATAGTCCTTCTTGTGTAGGTTCTGCGAGTTCCCTTGCGTACCAATCCTTGTCATCGACCAGGATATCAACCTCTTTTTCAAGAAACTCCCGCACGGCATCGCCATCTGTCTCTGCATCAGAACCAGGCACAGTCGTCTCAAGGTTCGGTTTATCGAGCTTCTCTCGAGCTCTCTTCCATCGCGACCGGGACTCACTCGCCAGTGCAGCCTTTGAGTCCGCTGTACGCTGGGAAATCTGCTTGAGCTTCTCATACCAGTCGGGCAGGGTATTTCCCTCCGGAGCCTCAGAGTTTCCACCCAAGAATGCTCCCGATGAACCTTTTCGCTGTAGCTGCGCGATCTTCATCCGCAATGCAGATATAGCCATGGTGAATGAAGAATTCTCTATCGCCAACGATCGGCCCAGACTCCATGCAGCCGAGTACGTGATGTCGATGATACCAGTTGTTTTGTCGATGATTTGCAACCCGGAACCATGACCTGATGCTTCAGCATTGTCCAGCTCATTTCCTCGAGGTTGTTGAGGTATCAGTGGGCCCCGAAAGAGAGCTGCAGTCTGCTCTCCCGTTTGGGTCCGGTGTTTGACCATGGTGTAGCCAGCTTCCAGACGTCGTCTTAGCCATTGATCTGTTGATAGTTCCAGTACTCGTGCCAACGGCCTAACGTTCTTCGATATTTTTTCGACCACGCCTTTAATCTCGGCGTCATTTCCTTTTGTCCATGTGAACGACCACGAGTACAGTGAGATCAGAGCTGACAGATCGGACTGGCCGGGCATATTCAAGTCTGGTACTCCCATGAGAGAAACAAGATGGGCATATGCAGTGGTGGGAGATTCAATATCCAATGGGCCAGATCGGTGACCTAGAACAATGCTGAAAGTATCTGTGGTCGGATCGCGTGGTTTTGTTGAGCGTGATCGTCGGATATGCGATAAATATGAGTACCGCGCAATGGCTGGCTCAACTTCGCTGTCGCCCATTTGCCTCGAGAAATATGCCCGAAACCCCGACGAGTTGACGAAAACTGTATTGACACCACCATCGGCATCTGTATCGAGATCTTGGGTGGATAGTGGGACTTGAGTAGATGAAGACTTCAACGCTTTGAGCTGTTTCTTACTCAAGTGAAGTGATAGAGTTGGGGAAGGCGCTGGTCTTGCTTCCATGGTGGGGAAAGTCTTGATCTCATCTTCCGTAAAGACCAGCAGAGCAAGCCATGGTATAAGCGACCCATCGAGATGTTTTTTGGAGATGTCTTGATCGTTGTCTGGACTCAGCTCCCATGGTATATGAGGGTCATTGAGCGTGACTTGAGGCAATACTTTGGAGGGCACAGACTCTCCTTCTCCAGGGTAGATGGAGTGAATTGAGCCAGCAGGGAGCTGATATTGACTTGGTCCTTCGACTCTGAACTTCTTATCTGTAGAGAGAGTCTTCCTCCCTTCCTTGTCCTTATCCTGCAAAATGACTTCCTGCGTGACTGTTACTTTGTAATCACCTGGGGCAAGAGAAGGTTGAAAGGATGAGAATAATTGTGCCTGGCCAGGCTTCAATTCCACCAAACTCGCCATGGTTGCAACTTTGCTCCGTTTGCAAACTGTTGATTTAATCAAATGTTTCAGACGACTTGAAGGCAATGTGATCCTTTCACATGTCGCAGCGGTGACCTCCGACTCTTGAGGATGGCTGTTGTGACGAGTCACACGTTGACCGTGTAGACCCTGTTTCAGCTCCCCCACCAAAATCGATAGTGCGCAAGCTATGGAATGACAACATATCCACTAATATTGACACTGTGCTTCTAGACTCGGCATTCGTACGTATCCACGAGGCCGCATGTGAGTTGTGAAGAGAAAACAGCTGATGTGAGGTAAATGTCGACGTCGAGCCATTGGTACAGTTTGCGGAAGCCCTCCAGCGAAAAGAGAGTCCTCAGGTAATTATTGTCCCAGCCATCGAGATTCGTTAACATGTCGCAGTCAATCAATTGCGTTGGCATGAAAGTCGATGCCTATATCCTGAACAATTCAGTCGTAGGAGATAGCTTCTTTCTGGCCCCGGTTCATCCACCACGTTATGAGACCCTGTCGTCGGGCGATTTTAACTCGCGGCCAGACGTTGAGGATCCCATTGATCTGAGAAATGCTTCACCCTGGAGCGTCAATCCGCGGATAGCAGATATCGAAACGGGCCAAGTTCTGAAGTCCAAGCTTGGTATATATCTTCACTGGTGTCTGCCCAAGCAGTTTAGGCTAGGAACCGCAGATGGAGATGTGAACCAAAGTCTGGAAAGCACTGGGCCAGTGCAAGTGAGTTAAAAGCATCTATAGTAACGCAACACTCGCTGATATATACAGTATGAAGCGGTGCCCGACAGATGGCTCATTTTCCGCCACATCGCAGAGTCCCAGCCAGATACCCCGGCCCTAGAAATATTTCTAGTAGAGGGCAACAAAGTCCGAAGTGTCAGCCAAATCCTCGATGAAGGAGGCAACCCCCAGTCCGTTTCATCGCCATTCATTGATAGGGGCCTTCCAACGGAAGATCAAATCAAAACAGTTCTAGGGCAGGTCTCACGTCTTCCGCAAGACTGGAGCGGTGTACAAAATGATCCCGCCCACTATCGCAGTCCCCTCACCGTTTTGGGATCGGGCAACCCTCTGTTCGCGGACTTCATACCTCATAACTCAGCTGTGTTTAGCTTCCATGATAACTTGACAAAGGAGGGTGGCGAACCCGGCTCAATTGAGAGCGCAAAGATCAATTATTCTGTTTACGGCTTTTTCGCCAAAGACGCCCTCGAACTTGCGTCTGACAACCCAAGCAAACCATCAACGCCGGTCTCGGTATGCTGGGGATCGCTTTATTCTGTCCATTATCAGAGGGATGCTGCACCTAGCAAGATCAAGGCGGCAGAAAAGGCCCAGCTATTCGCGGACACACAGCCAGTTGGCGTAGGCAACGACGTGATGGATGCTTGCGTTGCCTTGTTAAGAGGTTCTTCAGCAGAAGACGCATCCATGGCCGAAGCCTTCGAGAGTCTCAAGAGCGATGCTTCTCTACAACAATCCAACTCACAACTTGGCCGCGCATCAATAGCAGCTACCAACTTCAAGGGTACACATGGCGGATTTTGCTGGCGAGTCAAGAAACAGGAAGAAAAAGGTGCTTCGTTTGGTAGTAATTCGTTTTCACAAGTCCAACAGCCAAACATACCAAATGCAGAGCAGAAGAGAGTGCTACGCCAGCTGAACGTGATGCAAGACTATCTGGATGCTCTCTGTCGTCGGAAAAGGTACACAAGACATCTGGTCTTTTGTGAGTGGTGGAAACACCGGAGCCTAATCGGTAGACGCGACGGTCTTTCTGTGCAGCGCAGATCTCGGTGCACTACAAGAGCTAAACGGCTACTAGAGGAGATGCAAAGCCTCACCATCTTGATAAGGTCAGCAGAGATTCAGATCCTGTCGGTCCTGGATGGATCACTGCCCCATGGACCGTTTGAAAAGGAAGAGACCAGCAAGTTCTTTTCTCATACCGACCCTGCGTTCGTCCTCAGAAACATGGGCAGCGGGTGGCCAGACAAATGGGATTCTAAACCCACCACCATCGATTCTGACACTTTCAACTCATGGCTTGCTACGAACGCCGAGGCCCTTAGAAAATGGACAGAGGCTACACCTTTTGTGAAGGAAGGGGCGCCAACTACTGAAGCTCGTATTACTGATCTCTGGGAGCACATCAACGATCATAGTGGGCTCCGCAAGCTTCCGATCGAGCTTCGTCAATGTTTGACCAATACTATGTTGGCTTTTACCAAGGAGATTTTATCAGAGACACCAGGCAAGAATGCACTAATTCAGAACCCTTCGTGGGAAGAATGTTGCTGGGACGGTCAGCCATGGCTTCCGCTGTTTGTGGACTGGGAGGTGGAGTACGTCAACATCCCGAGCAGAATGTGGCAATTGACATACAACGATGACGGCACAGTGCAGTATGGCCTCGACACTGATCAGAAGCTGTCGGATCTGACACTGGGCTCTCGTAAGTTTTCTGGACGAAGCATTCTGCAACCAGGTGGCCAGAAGCTTATCCTGGGGCTCCTTGATATGATGCACCGTACAGTCCCTATTGCCTCTGGCGATGTGGATCCGGTGAAGGCCTTTGCAGCAGAGTTCCTCGGAGGCCAGAACTTGCTCTTTGGTCGACTTGACGGGTTCACCGATCATCTTCTCACTCTTTGCCAAGGAGCTCATGCTATACCCACGAGTGAAGGGGCGCCTAGCCCAGGGGAAGAGATATTTGCAGAGGCAGAATCTCTCAATATCTTTTACGGGGGTCCAGCGGACTCCTCATCCGGTGGTCTTGATGTTACTCCCTACGGAACTTACCATGAGGGCTTATCGTATGAGACCTTGATCAGCACTGATGCCGTGGATCATAAGAATCGGTTCTTTCAACCGGTGACACACGGCCAAGCACGACTGACCCAGTTCAAGATCGTTGACCGTTTTGGACAGGTCATATGTGCCCACGATCCGCGACCAGAACAACCAAAAGCAACTCTATATCCTCACATTGGGTCTTCGCTGCTGTGTGAGCCAGACAGTGACGCTTCACCAAATACAGCATTTGCGACCGTTAATGAAGCAGAAGATTGTGAATGGTTTCAACTTGTTCCACGGATCAATCAGGATGCTCGGATGCACGCTGAATTTCTGTGTGGAGGAGCCGAAGGCGACACTCCTGTTTTTGCATGGCTGCTCATAAACTTTCACAATCAGTCTATACAGGTGTATGATAGGAACAGGACTTTCAAGGGCGAGGCCATGCTTCCCTCTGGGCCCAACGAATCGGTCCATTGGCATTCGCTCATAGGGGTTGACGTTTCTTCTGACATCCTTCCACATATGATGCGCGACGAACATGACTTCCGGCTTCAGGCTCGGCTGGATAAATTTGACATATCGGCACTAAAAGGGTCCAAGCAGCCGATGTCGCTGGATGATCTAATCGCATCAATGTCACATGCCCCTTTCATTATTGGCCTCTGGAAGACCATAGTTGCTGCTCAGGATCATATTCAAGCACCGCCAGCCCAGCAATTCTCTCAGTTCCCTTCTGCTCTTGTCGGCCGTCCCGTTGCTCTCGCACATCTGTCATTGGGGATCGAGCTTGCAACTCCACCTATGCATAGTCAGGCCTTTGCTGATTATGCTGAAGATGAGAACGACAGTATCTCTGGGGAGACTGGAGACGAGGAACTGACTCGATACGAGTTTGGTATCAAACTAGGCGACATGCTGGGTCACCAAGATGGATTGATAGGGTATTTCACAACTCCAGAAGATGGCAAGGCTTGGAACGTTATCACCGACTATGCCATCGGCGATGTGGCCTTGCCGAACGTTAGGCACTCGGGTGATGCACCTCCTCTCACACTGTCCCCCAGCTATCCTCCCGTGCTCTCTTCGGGTTCGCCATCGCCCTCCAACATCAACAATGAGGCAAGTAACTACCAGAAGCGGAAAGCAGAGGCCTTGCAGTCCTGTCTCATAACTGTACTCCTGGATCCCTTCCTTCCAATCCATATACGCTCAGGGATATTCCCTGCAGTCCAAGCTCAGCTAAACCGGAATGACGTAGAGCAAGACCTTCAAAATCTCGGCGTTTGGTTCCGCTCAGGTCCTGTCATTATCGGATCTCGTGGCTCAGACCCTGTTTCTGCAGCGGACGGCAAAATGCGAATACAAGTTATCGGCGATGGAAAAGATCCGAAGGCTCCTCTTGTGCCAGTGCATACCATGCCGACCACGACGTCTGGTGCCGAGTGGCAGTGGGTACAGCCTGTAGTGGATGAGACCAAAGAGAAGAGGGATGTTGGTGATTTGACTAGTGAAGTGAGATATGTGCATTTGGGTGTCACGGATCCACTGAGGGAAGGATTTGATGCAACAGTAGGAGCGGATAACGAGAAGGCCAAGGAAGATGACATCGAGGTAGCTGTTGCCTTAGATGGATATCTACTGTTAAGGCCGAGCAAGAAGAATGGCAAGTAGCACTGGAAATGGGGCTTTGGTCTAGTTTGAAGTGATTTAGGTAGCTCCCAAACAAACCACTCAGCGCTGATGTTACACTTGGCGTAAAGATATCTAACCAGATAGATAGGACTTACAGCAGCCCCCATAATAATCCTCCCCAGGAGGTAAAAAGACGATAACAGCAAAATGATTGCCATTGCCTATTGTTTGTTAATGAGTTTACATACCAGTATTCAGGAAGTTACCGAGGTCATCAGTAATATGCGTTTGTTGGTCAGTTATGTCCAAGGAAGTAACAACCATACTCGAGAAAGTACAAACACAAGACAGCCATCACTACCAATCTTAAACTTGTCAACATCGAATACCAGAATTAAATTGCCATCAATTAACCACGAACACATATCCAATTCATCATAAATTTCTCGTATTCGTTTTCGCATTCGTCGCACAAAATGGATCCAACATTTTTTGTCATCCCCTGTGTCCTGTCTCCGCCCGAGTACCAGGAAGTACGCAATGCCTATTACTTGGCATTATTATCTCGTCTCCCCCCTACGCGCACGTTTCCTCGCGTCGTTGAACGGCGAGCGTATAGGGCATATAAACGCTGGGATTTGGCAAAACGCCGCCTGGTGACTGAGATGGAGGATTTTGGCGCTGGCCATGGCCACTTATACAAACTCTCTCGCGCAGAGATAAGGGCCCTGAGGCGTATTGTCTCGCGACTAATTGTTGCGGAATATCAGTTAGTTATACACTTACGCTTTTCACTTATGTTACCGAATACTAACGAATTATAGTCATTGCGCTAGGCGAGCAAAATTTCTCCGCGATTTCCCCTGGGCGTTCGGCAGCTTGAATCGCCGACAGAAACATAAGGATTTGCTCGAAGAGCACGTTGCCGACTTGGAGACATAGATTGATCTCCTTTTGGAGTGCCGACAGGCGGAAGCAAATGCGACTTAACTATATAAATTGTGAATATGGGTTAAAGAGGTGGGACTTGATTGTTAATAGAGGAGGGTGGTGGGCATTGTTTTTGTTAAAGGGAGGGTGGCGGGACGTTGAGAGAACAGTAATATAACTGAATTCTCTCAAGTAATATCGTGTTGTCATTCATTATCTGTGTTTGCAGCCTAAAGCTTAACCTTATAGGCCGCCTCAATCCATAGTTTGCTTTCCTGGTCCTTCAACTGCCGTCGCAGAATCTTTCCGCTAGGGCTCTTGGGGATAGCAGCTTGAATCTCAATCCCGCCTCTCAGATGCTTGTATCTCGCCTTGTCCTTCTTGAAACTCTGGTGGATTTCCTCCGTCAGCTGTTCATCGGTTATATTGGACCCTAACCTCTTGACAATAAAGGCCTTTGGGACCTCGCCATGCCGTTCATCCTGCACGCCAATGACGGCTACATCAGCCACCGCCTCGTTGGCGAGAATGTAGGCCTCTAGTTCCGCCGGGGCTACCTGCATACCCTGTCAAGAGATTCAAGAGATATCAGTGTTGTGCTCAAGTCACTTAGCGGGACTGAAGGGTCATTCATACCTTTACTTTGATCAATTCTTTAATACGATCAACAATGAATAGATGATCGCTGCCGTTGGGCCCACGGCGAAACAAGGCTTTATCGCCAGTCCGCAGCCACCCGTCTCGGACGAATGTCTCACGGGTCGCGCGGTCATTGTTCAAGTAGCCCATGGCAATGCTAGGAGACCTTATCCATAGTTCCCCTTCTTCACCGTAGCCCGTTCGCTCTTCTCCACTCTCAGTCACAATCTTGCACTCAATACCACTGAGCAAGACGCCAGATGACCCATACATGCAATCAGATCTCGGCGACGAACTAACGGACGCTGAGCTCTCAGTAAGACCTGTATATAACGCTTAGCTCAGCCTTCAGAATCTCGCCAACGATGGAGCACCAACCGTAACCTTGTCTCAATACGCCATTTGGAAATATCCTTTCCAGAGTTGCCCATGCCGTGGGGCTGAAGGCCGCCGCCCCTGTCAGCAGATTTCGAACATGTCCAAGGTCATATTCTTCTAGTTTTTCAGCATGCTGAATGCAGTCAAGCAAGATTGGGGGCACCTAAATACCCGAATTCCGGGGAATTAGACCTGGCACATACAACAAGCAGGGCTTAGCAAGGCTGTTACACATACCAGGAATAAGGTTGCAATAGCGTACTTGGTCACTGCACGCAGCATTGTTGACAGCTCGTACTTAGGTAAAATCACAACCTGATCACCGCGGTACACACATCCGTGACATATCACTACCAGTGCGTAAATATGACTCTGTGGAAGAAGTCCGAGAGCTGTCTCTGTTTTGCCAGGTTCTCGTTGAGTTCTCTCCAGCCCGGCGAGTTGCAGCACGTTGGCGATCACGTTGCGATGCGATATCAGCACTCCCTTCTATATCGACAGTCAGTAAGATGCTGGCACAGATTTATACAGGATGACGTACCGGCAACCCAGAGGTTCCGCTCGAGAAGCAAATGAAAGCGGGTTGGGTTTCACCCTGACCTATGGACCACTTCAGTGGCTCTAGGGAGGGGGCCTCCTTTCCGAGGCGAACCAATTCATCAAAAGACTTGAAGGGTACGAGACCCGGGTCTCTAGACAAGTCGGCACCAGTATCAAGCAGGAAAATATGGTCCGTGGCGATGCCAACTGCTCTCGCGGCTTCGAGGGCAATGGGGAGCAATGATCTGCAGGTGAACAAAGCTTTGACATGGGCTTGCGACAATTGGTGGATGACTTCGGCCTTTACGTAGCTAGCATTGATTGGCGTGACAATGCCGGAGAGCCGATGGGTTGCCCACATTGACGGAATGGCATCCACCTGTACCATGTTAGCGTTTTAACCAAGATTGGTTAGAAATGAGAGCTTATTGCTGGAGACTTACCGCATTCTGGGAAAAGATGCCAACAACCTTGTCACACTCACTACCACTGTTGGGCTCCCATCCCATGATTTGCGCCAGCGACCTAGCCACATATTCAATGCGCTCTGAAATATCGTGAGCCGAGTATGATAAGCCTGTTATACCGCAGGTATACGCAGGTCGGGAATCAGCAAGAGGATGTCGCCCGTAGCGCTCGTTCAACAAGAACTCGAAAATTGGCACATCATCAGGAAGATCACGCGGCAAAGGTTGGAGTAATTGAGACGTGGTCCTAAACACCATCTTGTCTGTTGCTCAATGATTGTTTTGAAGTACTTCTGTGACTGTCTCTTCCTGCGTTACCTGTAGAGCATGGTTCTTATATGCATCTTTCCCAGAGTTCTTGGGCCGAGCAAGTCCCAATCGGGAAGCGGAACCGAGGCTCGAGGTAGTTTACAGGTAATAAAGCAAGTATTACTAAAAGGAGACTAAAAGTTTTTTAAATATATTTTATATAGAATATTATTTAATATAATATTTTAAATAAAAGTTAATTTTAATTTTAATATATATATATATATA